CCTTCTGGCCCTAATTTGGATTCCTAGGAAGTTGGATGATTTGCTCATACCTTACGCTACCGTGTAAGGAGTATATTGACTTTTTATGGATATTCTCACACTTTTAAGATCTTTTAACTCCTTTTACCCCAGTATGGAATTTATTGAATGACATGGACAACAGAATTAAGTGAAGTGTAGCAAGTATGTCTATAATTATCAAGTCTCTTTGGGTAGCAAGTGGCAAAAATTCAATTCAAATTTCAGGTCCCTACTCTCTTGCACCATACACAAAGATAAACTCAAAATAGATGAAAGATCTAAATGTGAGACAAGATTCCATCAAAATCCCAGAGGAGAACTCAGGCAACACCCTTTTTGAACTTGGCCACAGTAACCGGAGAAGGACAGTGTATGTTCTCATTCATTTGGGGAATATGAATAATAGTGAAAGGGAATATAAGGGAAGGGAGAAGAAATGTGTGAGAAATATCAGAAAGGGAGACAGAACATAAAGACTTCTAACTCTGGGAAATGAACTAGGGGTGGTGGAGGGGGAGGAGGGCGGGGGGTGGGGGTGAATGGGTGACAGGCACTGAGGGGTACACTTGACGGGATGAGCACTGGGTGTTATTCTGTATGTTGGTAAATTGAACACCAATAAAAATTAATTTATAAAATAAAAAAAAATTTCAGGTCCCTAACATTTGGAAATTTAGTGGCTTATGAACCTGAAGATATACTTCACAGATACACCTTTAGCTTCAAGCCTTGCTAGATACAACTAATCTCATTAAGACACCATCTCTGGGGCACTTGGGTGGCTCAGTCAGTTGACCATCTGCCTTCAGCGCAGATCACGATCTCAGGGTCCTGGATCGAGCCCCACATCGGGCTCCCTGCTCAGCAAGGAGCCTGCTTCTGCCCCTCCCTTGACTTGTGGTCTCTCTCTCTCTCTCTTTCAAATTAATTTTTAAAAAAATCTTTTAAAAAAAGACACTGTCTCTGAGCTCTGCCTTCCTCTGTATCAGCATTCTTCTCAGCAAGTCATTTCTCTCCAACAAATTAGCTGGTGATCCCATAGGGAAAAGTATGCTCCTGGGGTGGTTGGCAGGAAGGAGTGGGTACCTGGCTGGCTCAGTAGAGCATGTGGCTTTTGATCTCAAGGTTGTGAGTTAGAACCCCACATTGGGTGTAGAGGGTACTTAAGTAAATAAATAAATAAAAACAAAATAAGAAAAGCATGTCTCTTTCATGATTGTTCTAGCAAAAGTCCGTGGGTCATCTGGATATTCCTGAATCAATCACTGTAGCTAGGAAGATTTGATACTCCGACCAGACAGGCATGAGTCATATGGAAACCCTGAGGTGATGAGGAAAGGTCATGGAGTGGATCACCCACAACTTTCATCCCTAACAAAAAGGGAGGGAGGGAGGAAAAGTATGGTGAGCAGGCATACTAAAATCACTGGTCTACTACATTTCTTGGAAGAAATAGCTTGTAAGCCCTCACCTCTTAGTCCTGGATCCTGCAGGGGCGATTTCATTGGCCCACAGCTACTTGAACCAATGAGTTTATCATACTCAAAGGCTGAAAGGGAGAATATTTCACCTTGGGAGTGTGGTAAAGGAATTCCCAGTCTCTCATTGGCTCCATACATTTATCACTTTGTTCTGTGAAAGTATTTGGATGTGATTTTAAATTGTGCCCAACAAAATGCCATCAATTTCTCCAACTAATAAATGGTTCAGAATTGGTAAAGAGTCAGTCTTGGTGACTGTGCCATTAGAATCACAATGGATTCTTTTAAAGAAATCCTCACACTTTATCCTCAGCAGAAGCAGCAGTTTGCCACTTAGAGACTTGCCTTGGATGATACTGATTCCTGTTCTATTTCACTGTGGAATTATGTTCATCACTTACTTCTTTTTTAAATTGTGCCAAGATTTGTACCTCAATTTACCTAGTCTTTTACATAATGATTACTAAGAGTTTAAAAATGGACACTCAGATCAGATCATAAAGATAATTGGGTATACTCTGCAATGAACTTTGAGCTAATTCAAACATTGCTCTACAATTCTAAATATTGACATTAGATGGCTGGCCTGCTGTTCACGGGCAATAATTCTGCTAGTTAGGGAGTTGGCTTAAAGACTTGGTATGTGTTAGAGACTATACCTTTTCCCTAAATGTAAGAAGCCTGTTCACCTGCAATCTTTCCCCTTTAACCATGGTATCTCCAGGTGGGCTGGCTCCTCTCCCCTTTCTTTTTGCCAAAAGAAGGCAAGGGAGAGGTAGGAGAGAAGAGTTTGATGATCATGCCAACTTTTCCCCTAAGAATCTCTTTAAATAAACCTCGATTTTTACAAGCTTTCAAGGAAGTCACAAGTGTGGATGTTGCCAAGACATTGAGACTAGAGTATTTGGCAGCTTATCATTTGTTCCTTCAATAAATCTTTACTGAATACCAACTAATGGCCACGTTCTACACTAAATGCTAATCTTAGAGCGAACATGAAAGTGAAAGTCCTTGACTTTATAAGGCTGACCTCCCAGTGGGGAAGACAAGACATAAACAAAATCAGGGTAAGGAACAAAATCTGCTGTTTTAGACACGGTGGCCAGTGAAGACTATTTTTTTTTTTTTAAGATTTTACTTATTTATTTATGAGAGACAGAGAAAGAGACACAGAGACTGAGAGGGAGAAGCTCCCCACAGGGAGCCTGATGCAGAACTCGATCCCAGGATCCCGGGATCACGACCTGGGCCAAAGGCAGATGTTCAACCATGGAGCCACCCAGGTGCCCCTTAGTGAAGGCTACTTTAAGGAGGTAACATTTAATCAGAGATTACGTTAAGGAAGAAAGTTAGCTCACCACACCAAGTAAAGAAAACAGACTACAAAAGCCCTGGGGTGGGAATGTGCTTAGTGTTCAGAGAAGACTAAGGAAACCACTCCCATTAAGTGGGAGAATCACACAAAATGAGGTTGGAGAGGAAGCCAGAGACCAGAACGTACAGAGATGATGGAATATAATGGGTTTGGATTTTATTCTAAATAGCACAGGAAGCTAGTGTGTCCATCAGAGTCTAGCCATGGAAAGAGAAACTATTCTAGTTATTTCAGGCAGAGGGAATTTTAGGAGTCATAGATATCAAAAGGAAGAATGGAGTGACAGCGAAGATGAGAGGCTGCTAAAAACAGCCTTGGCGAAACCCTTGGGTGCTGCACCAACTCTGGTGCCATTCAGAAAGATGCTGTCACTGTCATCCTGTTTGCTGAAGTGTTGCCGGGACTGAGGAAGTAACTGCTGGGGAGTCAGGAATGATCCTACCTCACTGTAGGTAGTGTACCTACTTTCACTGTAGAAGTGGCCAGCAATGATTACACTACTGAATCTAGAGGTTAGTTTCATCCTCCTACCTTATTTCCTGCTTATGCCTCCCAATGGAAGAAGTTCATTGGAAGCCTCTGGCATGAGAACCTGGGGGCAGTAGCTTACATACTCTGGGCCCCTGCCGCACAGTTGCATACAAGGGCAGGTGCAGAAATGCATATATATGTGTGTGTATATATATATATATGTAATATTCTCCACAGAATCCAGAGTAGAAGCAGGGAAACCAGTCAGATCCTAGTGTTATTTATAGAAGGTGCAGGTGAAATGATTTGGCTTGAACTAGGGTAAAAGTAGTTGGATGGAATTCAATGTATTTTTTTAAGATAGGATCAAAGAGTCAAGGGTGATTTCAAGGATTTTGGCCTGTGTAAACAGGACAAAGGGCATACCATTTACCGAAACAGGGAACACTGGAGGAGGTGTGTATTTGTCTGGTGGATGAGGGTAAATCAAAAGTTCTAAAGTTAAGAAGCTCATTACACATTCAGGGGCTCCTGGGTGGCTCAGAGGCTGAGCGTCTGCCTTCAGCCCGGGGCATGATCCTGGAGTCTCGCATCCAGTCCGATGTCGGGCTCCCTGCATGGAGCCCCCTGCCTGGAGCCTGCTTCTCCCTCTGCCTGTGTCTCTGCCTCTCTCTCTCTCTCTCTCTGGATCTCTCATGAATAGATAAATAAAATCTTAAAAAAAAAAAAAAGAAGAAGCCTATTATACATTCAAACAGATAAACAGGATGTAGTTGAACACAGCCCTTGGAGTCTGGAGAAAAAGGGGGGGGGTGTCTAGAAACGGAATTTAAAGCCCTCTCTGACCACCATCCACGGGGGGACCTGTGAAAAGAGAAGAGGTCCCAGGGCTGGTTCAGCAAAGGAGAAGCCAGGGGGCTCAGCCAGGGGGGCAAAAAGGAACCCGAAGCGTGCGGGGGTATGGAAGACAAGCCAAGACCAGGGCTCCAGAAGCTGGCAATGCTCAGCTGTGCCAACCGTCGGGGAGCGGAGCCAGACGGGAACCGAGGGGGACCCGGTGGGTCTGGCCCGCAGCAGCGGGGGGAGCTCTGAGCGGCGTGGGTCCCCTCTCTGCAGGGCTCGCGCTGCAAAGAGGAACAGAAAACTCGGTAGGTGGCCAGCGGGGGGCAGGCAGCGCGGGGACAGCGCCGCTCCGGACGTGCGCGCCCGCAGGCCGCGGGGATGGCCCGCGGCAGCACAGCCGAGGAGGGCCTTGCGCGCTGCCCTCCGGGGGCTAACCTCGGCGGCCGTGGGAAGCCGTGGAAGCCGTGCCCGCTGCGGGCAGTCAGGGCGGGCAGTCAGCGGCCTCGGGCCCCCGGGAGCTACGGACGCGGCGTTGGGCGACGCCGGGCCTCCCGCCTCGCAGAGCCACAAGATGGAGGGACGGGAACCCCTGCGCGCGGCCTCGTTCCGCCGGCGCTCGGCGCGCTTCCCGCCCCGCGCTCGGCCCACTGCCCCCGCGCTCCCCGCGCCTCCTCCGGGCCCCCCGCCCCAGCCACGCGCGCGCGGCCGCAGCGCCCCGCCCCCGCCCCCCCGCGGCCAGGTCGCGGGGGCGGAGTCCGCGGACGTCACGTGGCCCGCGCCTGCCAATCAGTGCGCGGCTGAGGGTCACACCCAGCGCCGCCGGGCCGCGCGAGCCGCACGGGCGCCGAGGACGCGGCGCAGCGAGCGAGGGAGCCGGCGGGTGAGGCAGGTGCGGCTCCGGGGCCCGCGCGGGGAGGGGACGTGAGGGAAGGGGCGGCGGCATCCCTCGGGCCCGCCACCGCGGCGCTCCCCGAGCTCCCCTCTCTCCTTAGGACCAGGCCATGGAGAGCCGAGTCCAGCGGGTTCGCGTCGCGTTTGCGTCCGGCCGCTCGCGCCCCGTTAGGTTCCGTCTCCAGCAGCTCGAAGCCCTGCGCAGGATGGTGCAGGAGCGCGAGAAGGACATCCTGGAGGCCATCGCCGGCGACCTGTGCAAGGTACGCGCGCTTCCGCCGTCCCACTTGGGGGCCGCATTCCGCCCGGGCTTTTGCTTTTTTTTTTTTTTTTTTGGCTTTGTTTTGGATTACTCAAGGCCCGTGGGCGTGTTTTCTCCAGCCGTCCTGATACAAAGCAAGTTTCCTTTGCCTTTCCGGATCCTCTTACCTTGCTGAGTGCCTCTGACGCGGGATTGCAAGACCACAGAGAAATAGACCCAAGTGTCTTCTGGCCTCTCTTCCTCTTTTGAGAATTCACAAAATTCTTTTTGTGAATGTGTGCCTTGTATAGCCTGCCTGTTTTCCTGTTGCATTTGTGGACCTTTTCTTTATTTTTTGTAGGGATTGTTTCCGTAGTTTGTCAGCTCTGTATTTTTCTCCGAATCTGTTTCTTGCTTTTCTTGTGGTTTCTTTTTTTCCTTTTTTTAAAGATTGTTTATTCATGAGAGATACACATTGAGTGAGAGAGGCAGAGACACAGGAGGAGGGAGAAGGCTCCACGCAGGGAGCCCGACCTGGGACTCGATCCAGGGTCCCCAGGATCACTCCCTGGGCCGAAGGCGGCTCCAAACCGCAGAGCCCCCCGGGCTGCCCTTTTTTTTTTGTGGTTTCCTTTGTAGACTGAGGTTTTTTTTGGTTGTCATTATTGCACTGAAGTTTTCCTCCTTGACTCTGTGTTTTAGGCCGGTGCTCCGCAAACTCAAGAGTGTCTTGGTGAATCACCTGGGGATCTTGTTAAAATGCCAGTTATGGTTCAGTAGGTCTTGGAGGGCATCTGAGATTGGAAGTTTCTAACAAGCTCCCAGGTGATCCCATGCTGTTTTGGAACCACACCTGTTAAAAATTATTACTCCATTTTTTTTAATTGAAGTATAGTTGAGACATTAGTTTCAGGTGTAAAACGTAGGTCTACAGTATGGTTTATTTCACTTATTTCACTCTCTTTAGGTCCCCCTCTTGTCCTATATGGCAAGATTTCATGCCTTTTTAGGGCGGAGGAATATTTCATTATATACGTCTATAGGTACATAGATGTATGTGTATGTACTACATTTTTGTTATCTGTTCATCTATCACTTAGGTTGCTTCCATATTTTGGCGATTGTAAATGCTGCAGTGAATGTAGGGATACATACATCTTTTTGAAATAGTGTTTTTCTTTTAAGATTTTATTTTATTTTTTAAAATATTTTATTTATTCATAAGAGACACACAGAGACATAGGCAGAGGGAGAAGCAGGCTCCCTGCAGGGAGCCTGATGTGGGACTCGATTCCAGGACCTGGGATCATGCCCTGAGCTATAGGCAGACGTTCAACCACTGAGCCACCCAGGTGCCCCAAGATTTTATTTTTTATTTTTTATTTATTTATTTTATTTTTTTATTTTTAAAGATTTTATTTACACACACACACAGAGAGAGAGAGAGAGAGAGGCAGAGACACAGGCAGAGGGAGAAGCAGGCTCCATGCAGGGAGCCCGATGTGGGACTCGATCCCGGGTCTCCAGGATCACACCCCAGGCTGCAGGCGGCATCAAACCGCTGCACCACCGGGGCTGCCCCAAGATTTTATTTTTTAAAGTAATCTCTATACCCAACGTAGGGCTTGAGCTCACACTCCCTAGATCAAGAGTTTTGTGCTCTACCGACTGAGCAAGCCGGGTTCCTCTTAATTAGTGTTTTCATTTTCTTTGGATAAATATTCAGAAGTGAAATTGCCGGATTGTGTGGTATTTCTATTTTTAATATGGCATATACCCTAAAACTAGTCAGTTAATCTCCTTCACTTATGGCCCAGGCACTTAAAAAAAATTTTTTTTTAAATAAAAAAAATTTTTTTGAAAGATTTATTAAAGAGACGACAAGCAGGGTGAGAGGATCAGAGGGAGAGGGAGAAGCAAGTTTCTTGCTGAGCAGGGATCCAGACTCGGGACTTGATCCCAGGACCTTGACCTGAGCTGAAGGCAGATGCTTAACTTACTAAGCCGCCCAGGCACTTTTCAATCTGCTACTTCTGTGCTGGGTCTTTGAGTGTGTGAGTTTGCGTATACGCAGTTTAAGAGCAGAGTCTTGGTTTCCTAAAGGTTCTTAATTAACCCCATCTGCATCCCGGTTAAGCCTGCTGATTTTCAAAGCCAGAGTTATCGAGGCTCCTTGGTGCAGGTCCCCAGGGCTGGGACACCTGATGGTGGGGCTTGAACCCCTCCCTCTCCGGGGAGGATCTCCATGCAGGATATCACTGCTGTTTGTGGGTCCCATGCCAGAGGTGTGTGTTTGGACTAGACCGGGTCTCTGCCCCTCCCACCCTTCTCCAAGTAACCTTTTATGTCTTTAGTTGTGGAAGAGGTATTTGTGGGTCTTTAGGTCTTTCTCCGAGAGAGTCACTCCGTGCAGTTGTACCCTTGGAGTGTCCATGGGAGGAGGTGAGCTCAGAATCCTCCTCCTCCACCATCGTCCCAAAAAATCCTGGATCCACTTTTTGAGTAGCAGAGTTTGGGGTAGTATTTAGGAAATATTACTCTCTATTTTCTAATAATATTGTTGTCTTGTTTTTACATTTTATTCCAGTGGTAACAAGGCGTTGCTCTGGCTCTGTGAGTCTGTCTCACTTCCCCCTTTCAAAGATTATTTTGAAGGGTAGTAATGCCAGTAGTAATAGGAACAAAAGTAACTATAAACCTTCTTTTCTAGTACATTTGGTAGAGAGAAGCTGTGATACCAAATAAATAAGGTGACGTAATTAAGATTTCAGAAAGGACAAATCAGTCATTCTACAGGTATTTGTGTAAGTACATCTGTGATTACTAAAGAAAAACAGTAAGTTCCTTGCCCTTGAGGGATTTAAATTTTGGGAAACAAAACATCCACAGATAGAATGTGAGTACAGTTATAAACCTGTGTAAGGGTGAAATGTTAAGGTACACATCAGAAGCAGAATTGCTGTGGTTTATTAAGTGTGATCAAAACAGACTAATATTAATCAGGGAAATCTTCCTTTCTGAAAGAGGTAATGTTTAGTCCTGACTTTATTATTATTTTTAAAGATTTTATTTATTCATTCATTCATGAGAGACAGTGAAAGGAAGAGGCAGAGGCAGAAGCAGGCTCCCTGAGGGGAGGGAGCCTGATGCAGGACTCAATCCCAGGACCCCAGGATCACAACCTGAACCAAAGGCAGACGCACCCAGGTGCCCCTAAGTCCTGACTTTAAAAGGCTTGGGTCAGTAAAGAAGGATTGAGGGGTTGACAATGTTAAGAGTGGAAGGTAGCAAGCTGCTATTGAGGGCAAGAAGGGTGCAAAAGGAATCTGCATGGCAAACCAGCTCGTCTCATAATGCCACTTGTCACTGCAGGTGTACCTGACCTAGTTTTTGGCATTCAGGGCTGAGTGTCCCAGACTCATGCAAGGTTAACTATGATTCTCTTATAACAGAGTGAACTCAATGCATACAGTCAGGAAGTCATTACCGTTCTTGGGGAACTTGATCTTGTGCTGGAGAATCTTCCCGAATGGGTTGCTGCTAAACCAGCTAAGAAGAACCTGCTCACCATGCTGGATGAGGCCTATGTTCAACCGGAGCCCTTGGGAGTCGTACTGATTATTGGAGCTTGGAACTACCCCTTTGTTCTCACCATTCAGCCTCTGATTGGAGCCATTGCTGCAGGTCTGGTGTCAGCGTCTGTCTTTGTAACTCTTTGGAGGGGCTTATTCTCTCACTTTGGCTGTAAATTTAGGACAGTGGCTAATTAAATGCATTTGCTTTGGTGGCTTACCTTGGTTTACACCAGCAGTGTACTGAGAATGCAAAAGTATTGTCATCATACCTATATATTTTTAACAAGTACAAAGTACATTAAAGTGAAAGTACACTCTCAAGATGGTGAGAGAGAAAGTTCCACGAGGTGGAACTGGTCAAAGCTGGTTTTGGGGTTGGATATTATTGGGTCTCTCTGGACTGGGAGGAGCTATGATGTACAAAGGGATTTTTTTTAAGTAATCTCTACATCCAGTGTGGGGTTCAAACTCATAATCCCGAGATTAAGAGTCACATGCTCTACTGACTGAGCCAGGCAGGTACCCCTTTATTATTATTTTTTTAAATGGGCTCCAGAGACTTACACAGTAACTGTTTTTTGAGATAACCCAGAAAATGAACCTATGAGGGTCTAAAAGCATGAGTTGACAGGTCCAGGCATTTTGGAGTCAGCTATCCATGTTCTAGTGTGGTTTTAGTTGCCAGCTGTGGTCCTGGATGAAGCATTTGGTTTTGTCTGACCAGTTTCTTCCTTCAGCTGTGGGCGGTGGGAGTTATGGTAGCTTATGTGTACAGCAAATGCCAGATTAATTCCACACTTCTGCTGGATCCTGATCAACAACTTTATGTTGACAAGGCTTGTTTGTCCAATAATTCCAAGGCAAACAGGAAAGTCCAGTGGTGGAAATGGGAGGAGTGGAGGAGGATTTTAGAGCCAATTGTCAGAGATGTGAAGCTAATGAGAACCAAGGAGTTGGAATTTGAGGGCATAAGACTAGCTCTTGGGGTGCCTGGGTGGCTCAGTCAAGTTTCTGCCTTCTACTCAGGTCATGATTTGGGGATTCTGGAATTGAGCCCCACTTTGGGCTCGCATGGTAGACTGCTCAGTGGGGAGTCTGCCTCACCCCCTCCCTCTGCCCCTCCCCCCAGTTGCGTGGGCATGCATGTGCACATGCTCTCTCTCAAAATCTTAAAAAAAAAAAAAAAAGATAAGCTCTTACGCTTGTTGAGGAAGAGCAGAATTCAAAGCTGCAAAAGTAATGGGAGAACCTAGCCTATATTCCCACCATGAACATCATTTTGGTAGGTGTTAAAGTTACTCAAGTATTAAAATATGCTGTTCTGTTGTCTTTGCTTTGTTTAGGAAATGCTGTCATCATCAAGCCTTCTGAACTAAGTGAAAAAACAGCTAAGATCTTGGCTGAACTCCTCCCACGGTATTTAGACCAGGTAATCATGTCTTCACCCATCTTCACCATGGGTGTTTATAGGCGGGGGATACACATCTGATATTCTACTAGTGTGTGCCATGGATGGCTGTCTACAGGGAATTGCTGTAGGAGGAGTCCTAATTTTGTTCCCATTGAAAGGCAACTTTATTTTTTTTTTAATTTTTATTTTTATTTATGATAGTCACACAGAGAGAGAGAGAGAGAGAGAGAGGCAGAGACATAGGCAGAGGGAGAAGCAGGCTCCATGCACCAGGAGCCCGACGTGGGATTCGATCCCGGGTCTCCAGGATCGCACCCTGGGCCAAAGGCAGGCGCTAAACCGCTGCGCCGCCACCCAGGGATCCCGAAAGGCAACTTTAAAATGTCATAGCTGGAGTTGTACCTATTACTCTAACGCTGGAGGCTAACCGTGGGTTCTCGTTGCTATCTTATCACTGCTACAGCAGCCGCAGAACTAATTTTCCTAATAGCTATGGTTACCCAGTTCAAAAGGGTGATGAAGACTGGGAAATGTCATGGGTTGAGCGGGATTTGGAACCAGAAGATAGAGTTTGAGGGTTCCTGCTTTGCCTCTCACCGGGGGCAAATTCTTCACTGTCTGACTCCATGGAGGGTCAGATCCGGGGCCCGATCACATACGTTCTGTAGATTAACCTATGTAAGTTAAAACTTGAAACATATGCTGGACAGTTGAGCTGTGGAGTGAGTGAGAACTGATGAGCAAACCCCACCCCCCCCACCCCCCAGTTAGTAGATCAGATGGAAGCATGAGGCCCACAAGCCTGCTTTTATCTCATGCCGCTGTCTCTGAGTCTTTTTTTTTTTTTTTTTTTTTGCTGTCTCTGAGTCTTATGAACACCTGGCTCTGTCCCTTCCTTTCTTCTGTTCCCTGTCATTGCTTCTCAGGCTGCTGCTACACAAGATGTTTTTCCATGGTAGCTGTTAGTAAGAATGCAGTAGGCTGAGTTCAAAGCTCATAAGGGCTCAGTCCAAAGCTATGTGGCCTCTCCCCAGTCCTACATAAGGAAACTGAGACTTACAGGTGTTCAGTAGGATTGCTGAAGATCCCCTAGCTATCAAATGACGGAGCCCAGATTGAGCCCAGATCTGGCTTCAAAAATGAGTGGTCTCACCTGTGCTGCTTCAAGTACTGATCGTTCAGCATTTATTTACCTGGTTCCTGGCATGGGCTAAGCCCTGCATTGTCGTGTAGGGTGAGATCCTTCAGCTTGAGACACTCGTCTGGGACCTGTCCTGTGGTCACTGACAGCAAACTCTTCATCAAAACCTTCAGCTTAGGGACGTCTGGGTGGCTTAGTGGTTGAGTGTTTGCTTTTGGTTCAGGTCATGATCCCGGAGTCATGGGATCGAGTCCCACATCAGGCTCCCTCTGCCTGTGTCTCTGTCTCTCTCTGTCTCTCATGAATAAATAAATAAAATCTTAAAAACAACAACAACAAAAAACCTTCAGCTCACATGGCCCCATCTCATGCATTTCCCTGGTCAAATCCAACCAGGGAAGAAAAGAAAGCATTTCTTTTCTTCGGTGTCTTCACTGCCGAGCTGATATGGGAACCTACGGATTTTCTGGTCAGTGCCACCGCAGGTTGAGATGGGTCTCAGACGCCATCAGACTGTGTTGTCTACTTGTCCTCTGTCAGTTCCCTCCAGGGTGCCTACTGGGGCCGGTCTTATATTTTTCTGATATTCCCGAACACTACAGGTTTATGTCTAAGAAATTTCCTGTTAGGTGGTAGGATTAACGGGGCAATGTCCATGCTTCTGTTTCTTCTTGAAGGACTTGTATGTTGTTATCAACGGTGGCGTCAAAGAAACCACAGAGCTCCTGAAGCAGCGATTCGACCACATTCTCTATACGGGGAACACGGCAGTTGGAAAAATTGTCATGGAAGCTGCTGCCAAACATCTGACCCCTGTGACTCTAGAACTAGGAGGGAAGAGCCCGTGTTATGTTGACAAAGATTGTGACCTGGACATTGCCTGCAGGTGAGACTGGTTACCTGAGGGTTTCTTGACTGACATGTTGGTGGATCCTCTTGGCACCAGGGTGCTGGGCCTCCTGGCTGTGAGAGACGTCATGAGGCTTGGATGGTTGCCGTCCCTAGGGGTGTTAGAACTCTTTCATAAACCGTCTCTTTGTGCCACTGCCAGAAGAAATTAGCAGTGGGTCTTGACATTGCATGGTTGCCCTTAGGAGCTACAAAAAGTTTTCTTTTTCTGGGATTATAGACCTGGCAAGAAATTTAACTGTTCTGCTGGTAGATGATCCAGGAAGTAGGTAAAGTAGGTGCTTAATTAAAATCTTTTGATTTTCCAGGGGGATCCCTGGGTGGCTTGGCGCTTTAGTGCCTGCTGTTGGCCCGGGGTGTGATCCTGGAGTCCCAGGATCGAGTCCTACGTCAGGCTCCCAGCATGGAGCCTGCTTCTCCCTCTGGCTGTGTCTCTGCTTCCCTCTCTCTCTCTCTCTCTCTCTCTCTCTCTCTCTCTCTCTCTCTCTCTCTCATCATGAATAAATGAATAAAATCTTAAAAAATAAAACCTTTCGATTTCCAACAGAAAGGTTTTATGCTAACCTCTTCTAACGAGTCCCTTTGTTGACAAAATCAGTAGTACTCATATTTTAACTTTGATAATATCTTGCAGCTGGGAACCAGAAAACAAAAGGTTTCAGGTTCTCTCTGTGAATCAGGTTTAGCTCCTAGGAAGTGCCAAAACCCAGAACTGACTGTGTGCCTGGGATGGTCTGGCTTTTCTCTCCCCTTCAGAGATGGGCAAAGAAGGTCTGTGGGCATGTAGGCTGTGTCCAGGTTGTCTCCTTGTCAGAACATGAGTCCTGCAGTAAGGGTCAGAGCGCAGGCTTTGCTCCATACGTGGCTGTGGCTTTCCAGGGTGGGGAAGAGGTCCATAGGGAAGAGAGTGGACTAGCAGCTGGGCTAGCTGTCTTGCTCTATACCCCTGAACATCTTGTCAGCAGGACCAAGAGCCACAGTCAGGAGAATTGAAGACTGTATGGAGCTCCTGACACCCCAGGTCTCCTCTTGGCTAGAGGGGGAGGAGTAGAGGGGCTGGGGAGCTTGCTGCTTTTCTCAAATCTCAAAGTAGGTAATGGCTTCACTGCTTACAAAGTACTGTTTCCCATAAGCTGGCATTAAAATTTCCCTGCTCCTTAGCATATCCTATCTTGGGAGGAAAATGTGTTCTAAGTTCTAATCAACTGATTTATTAGAGATGAGTTTTTAAAACATTTTTATTCTTTATAAAGATTACAAAGACTCCTAAGTAAAACTATGAATACATGATAGTTGCAAAATATTCCAAGAACACAAAAGTTGGTAGCAGATGAATAGTAGACTGAATTCTGTGGCTGTTTTGGTTTTTCCCACCTCAGGCGTATAACTTGGGGGAAGTACATGAATTGTGGTCAGACCTGCATTGCTCCTGACTACGTTCTCTGTGAACCGTCCCTCCAGAATCAAATTGTGCAGAAGATTAAGGAAACTGTGAAGGTTTGTGCTTAACACATCTGATCTCCACTGGTTTTGTTAAGATATGGGTCTAATTTAGCTGTGTGCAGACAGCATCCTTGTTCTCTCCTCCCGCCTGGGAGAATTCTATTAGCATATATGACTGAATTCATTTATGGCCTTAAAAATGCTCTGGGCACCTTTCACAGAATGTCTAGGAGCAAGATTAGTTTGGTGTTTAACCCACTTCAGCTGCCTAGTTGATGTGTAAAAACAACTGGTTAGCTGTGGCATATGCTTTGAAAAAAAAAAAAAAAACTATGTTCTGTGGGTTTGAGAGGATGTTGCCAATCCTTTGAAATGCAGTCAGAGGCCCTTTGGCTTGTTGGGCATTGCTTAAGGTGATCTGCTCTTGTGTATGCAGAGGGCTAGGAAGGCCAGTAGTTTGGAGGAGGGAGTTAATCAAATACCTTAGATACTATACTCTCGACCTGCTTATCAGTCTTCCAGGGTGTTCATAGTAAAGATCTCTCTAGAAGGAATTGAGAAATACTGTGGTAGCAGCCTGCACTAAGCCTCAAAGAAATGTGGCATTTAGATTGGAAGAAAGGAAAGAGGTAGACCAGTGTGATTAGTCTCACTGGTTTTGGGGGTGGTTCATTAAGCCCCCTGGGTGGGAGAAATTACTGGAACAGTCATTGTTCACTGGACAGATGCTAACCGAGCACTAAAAGGAAGGATCAGAAACATCAAAGAGTCACATTGTGATGAGAGGAGGAAGAGTGTGTCCTGGAAGTTGAGAGAAAAGCAGGGACCCAGGCAGGGTCACTCAGACACAAGGGGCTGAGGGTCTCGATCTAGGACTGGAATCTAAGGGATAGGACTGGAGATGGGGCCCGACAAGGAGAACGTGAAAAGGGGTATTAGCCAGACTTGAAGAATGTGGGACAGCAGGTCTTAAAGGTGTCTGTGAGATGGAAAACCATTGGGGGTTGGAGAAGGTGTGCTTCACTGAGTATGGGGAGGACTCAGTGTCAAAGGAATAAGATCCCCTCTGCCTTTCTTCGAGGCATTTCTGCCTTAGGATAGCGGTTCCCAGTGGAGTTCCTACCAGGGAGCCATTAATGAAACGTTTCCAGTCCTCACTTTCCAAAGACTGATTCAGTTGGTCTGGGGTCTCCTGGTGATTCTAAGGTGCAAGTAGCATTGAAAAGCACCATTGGTGGCTCTGGAGTTGGGCCCAGGAGCACGCATCAGCCAGCTGCCTGGGTGATTCTTAGTGCCTAGGCCTGAGGGCCTTGCTTGGAGGGTGGGTGGGCACCCTTTTGACTTGAGAGTAAATGGAGAGCCCCCATAAGGCTTTGAAGCGATAGGGCAATTTAGGAATTTTGTATTTGTTTTGTGTAATAAATTCTGGCGAAATGATTTTTGAGATTAATTTACCAAAACTTTGATTCTTGAAGTGGTCTTCCTGTCACTGCTGGGAAGACCAGTCCAGAGAGGATGTAAAACAGTGAAATAGCACAAAGCTCAGACTTTTTTCTGGGAAGGGCTGTAGAGTAAAAATACTTGGCTTTACAGGCCACACAGTCTGCTACAACACGCAGCTCCTAGCAGGGAAGCAGCCACAGCTGCAGCGTGCATGGAGGGGTGGCCCTGACTCAGAGCCAGACTACCCCCAGCACCCACATTCACCCCAGGATAGCGCCTGGGCAGTCTGCAAGAGATCCACATGAACCCTGGATACTATGAAGAGTCCTCAGTGTGTGCATCTGCTTGAGTTCTTGTCCCTCAACTGCCAAAAGGTAGAAATGCTATTCAGTGACTTGAGGAATGTGGGCAGTGATCTAAAACCAAATGGCTTTGGGGGCACGAGTGGAGTTTGTATTTATTCAAGAAACTGAAATATGAGTCTTTTGTGGCAATTAAATACTATTGTTTTAAATAGGAATTTTATGGAGAAAATATAAAAGAATCTCCTGATTATGAGAGGATCATCAATCTTCGTCATTTTAAGAGGATACTAAGTTTGCTTGAAGGACAGAAAATAGCTTTCGGTGGGGAGACCGATGAGGCCACACGCTATATAGGTAATGGAAATTCACCTTTTGCTCTGGGGACACGCAGCATGACAGTTGTCACAAATGCTATTTACTGAATAAATCTTTGGATGCCTAATGTTTAATGAACAATTACACACTGCTTTTAGGTATATGGGCTTATAAATCACTCAGAGATGGTTTTAGGTCTTTATAAATAACAGCGCCACACCATCCTTGTTGCACTGGCTTCTTGCCTTTACGTAGATTTTTTTTTTTTTTTCTTCTACAACCTGTAACCTAACCACCCTGAGAAGCAAAATACAAGTGTTGTGTAACCCTTTCTGGTTTCTGGCTGGAAGGACAGGCTGTGGAGGAAGTCGTTTTACCACAAGTAGCCAGTGGCAGTACTGTTCCAGGAATAATGTTTTGTTGTTTCATTTTTATTTTATTTTTTTAGGACTTTCTCTTTCTTTTCTTTTCTTTTTTTATTTTTATTTTTATTTTTATTTATTTATGATAGTCACAGAGAGAGAGAGAGAGAGAGAGAGAGAGAGAGGCAAAGACACAGGCAGAGGGAGAAGCAGGCTCCATGCACCGGGAGCCCGACGTGGGATTCGATCCCGGGTCTCCAGGATGGCGCCCTGGGCCAAAGCCAGGCGCTAAACCGCTGTGCCACCCAGGGATGCCCCTTTTCTTTCTTTCTTTCTTTCTTTTGAGGGGGCAGGGCAAGGGGCCAGAGGGGCAAAAGGAGAGGGGGGGAATCTTAAGCAGACTCTGCCCTGGGCATAGAGCCTGAGGTGGGGCTCAGTCTCATGACCCTGAGGTCATGACCTGAGCCGAAACCAAGAGGCACATGCTTAACTGACCACGCCTCCCAGGTGCCACCAGAAATAATGTTTTGCTCTGTTGTGCTTGACATTATTTGTTTACTTTTACTTTGTGTTCTTTTATTCTTTGTCAGGAATATGTACTGCAGTTGTATTTTGAACACATTGTTCTAGAGTAACATAGGTGATGGAAGTAACACAAAATTACTCAGCAAAACTGTTATAAATAGCTTTACTTATTCCCTCTTGTCAGATGGGATGCTACACATCCCCAAAAAACCCAACTTAAAAAAACCCCAAATTCTAAAGAGCTTAAAGAGGAAAATTGTATTCTCTCATAATGAGCTGTCCTGAGGTGCTTCCAACCTGTTCATTCAGAGCTCAGGAATGGCATCCATACCCCCAGTTTTTCATCTTTCTTGTTTTTCCATCAGCCTGACTTGGCCCACTCCTTGGCGAATCAATGGCAAGAGAGAGGAAAGGTCTGTTGTGATTCACGCAACCAGTTAGGAACCCTCCCCTGACCTAGAGTCAGGGTTACCTTACTTCAGTGCAGGGCTACGTGGAGAGCATACACCCAAACTGATGGTTTTTTGAGCCCCAATAGCAGCATAGACACCCTTGGAGGGTGCTGGTGATAGCTGTCTTATGCCACGTGGCCAGGTTGACCGAGTAAGAAATTAGGGGACAAGGAAGAGAGGATACTTGTTATTGACCAGTGTCTTCTCTTCTAGTTGATGGCCTGGCTTGTGTATAGGGTCTTTGGGAGCTGATTGGTGACTGACCTGGCATGTTCGCTTCCTTTCTTGTGTGCCTTCCCCATAGTGGATGGAACACTGAACTCAGGGACTCCTGACCATTGATGTATATTTTCTTAGCCTAACAGAGTTGAAATAAAGGTCAGAGATCATATGCACAGAAGCTCTTGAATTCAGGAGTAGTGTTGATTTGATCCACAGAAGAGCTGTCTGCGTTCTCAGACCTGTCCACAGAAAAGTGAAAATAGGGGCACCTCAGTGGTTGAGTGTCTGCCTCTAGCCCAGGGCATTATCCTGGGGTCCTGGAATCGAGTCCCACATTGAACTCCCCACAGGGAGCCTGCTTCTCCCTTTGTCTCTGCCTCTGCCTCTAGGTGTCTCATGAATAAATAAATAAAATCTTGAAAAAAAAAAAAGTAGAAACAACCTTTTGGTACATGTGAATATGGCTGTGAACAGGGTTAAGTGGGAATAGACTCAAGTGTGTCTTTTCCTTGGTTTGCTTGGGGCTTCCCTGATGCACATTCTTAGAGACATACATGCACATTTCACCCACGTCCAGCCTCAGGACTTGTTTTCCTAGTAGCTAATCCTTGGGCAGGAGTGGGAAGGGATTGGATCAGTGAGCCAGCCAAACAAACATGGTGAGAGTTTGCCATTCCTGTCTTCTGCTTTAGGATTTCATTTCATGCCTTTGTTTTTCAGCCCCTACAATACTTAGTGATGTTGATCCTGAAAGCAGGGTAATGCAAGAAGAAATTTTTGGACCGATTCTTCCAATAGTTCCTGTAAAGAATGCTGATGAAGCCATAAAATTCATAAACAGCCGTGAAAAGCCCCTGGCTTTCTACATATTTTCTCACAACGATAAGGTAAAACGCTCTGGAGAACGGCTCGCTGGCACAAGCTGTGATCATAGAACTGTGGTCCTCCTTGGCCACAAAGCCAGTGATGGTCTCTTTTGTATAGTAATGGAGTCTGCCAAGTGAGGCCCTACTCACAGATTGCTCTTGTTGGGTAATGAGACCCTGGGGTTATGGCTTTCACCTTTCCCATACTCCCAAGGGTCAGACCGGAGTCTTCAGGGCTGGGTCACAAGGGTTAGCACTCACAAACATCTCCCCTGTAATTGGAAGGTTTTCATATACCAGCATTAGAAGATTCTGTGCCATTACCCCATAGGGCTTTCTCCCTCTTAACCAGTGACATTTGTGGCCATTCAGGTGGGCATGTGGGACAGAGATCTCTGGCACAGTTGTGGACGTGGTAGTGAAATCTCAGATTTCATTTTCCCCAGTTCCTTTGCTGTTAGAGCAATGGAGCCATCCCAGCCAGGGGAGAGTGTCACACAGTATTACGACAGGGTGAGTGGCTCTGCCACTCTGCCACATGGCTCATTCCTTCACCTCATATGGAGACTGGCTGTTGCCAAGGGTCAGTGGCCTCAAGGTGGGCAAGGAGGCTCAGGAGCCCTCTGGAGAGATGCGAGACCCTGGGGGAGATGGGACCCGTCAAGGGCTGAGGAGTTCACGAACCAGGTGTTTTGTGGAGAGCCTCTTGTGGTAACATGGCAGCTTCTAGAGCCTGCCGTGTTGTGGAGATACAGCTTCATGAGTGATGCCAACTGCATGGGCCTCTAAATAATGGATTATTAAGAGTGGCGTGACATTTTAAATGACCAGAGGTAATGTGGACAAGAACCTTGAAGCCTCGGGTCACTGGGCAGGGTGGAGGTCCAAGGGGCATGCTTCCCAGCCATGGGGTTACTGTCTGACCACAGTCCACTGTGACACTCATAACTTGGACTCCCGAGGGCTTGTGGCCACTGGGTGCAATGACATTTACCAGTCAGATGTCCTCATGCCTCTTCTGATCTGTCTTAGGCCAGCCACTTCTTCAAAATAAATAGAATGCCATGTCTGAAAAGTTACATATTCTTTGCAATTCCTAAAAACTAAATGGTCTATTCATCACACACTGTAACCTAGATCAGAGAGGGAGAAATTTTAGCGATATTTAAAAACCAGAATATAGCCTGGACTGTCCCGTATAAACAAAGATATCTCCGTGGCCATCTTGGGTAACTCTGGCTCCTGGCAGTGGTGAAACGAACAGGACCGGTTCAGTGCCGCCTCCCTCTGAGGACTAGATATGTATCTGAGCAGAAGGATTCTAGTCACGTTTGCTAAATTGAACAACGCTTGAAAGCATGTATGTATTTGGCCCAGTGTGCCAGACTTGAGTTAGTCATTGCCAATACATGGAGTCGGCATGCCATGGGCACTGCTGACCTGACCTTTTGTCCCGTTCCCCAGCTTGTCAGACAGATGATCAACGGCACGTCCAGTGGTGGTGTCACAGCCAATGATGTCATCATGCACTTCACACTCAGCTCTTTACCCTTTGGAGGTGTGGGTGAGTATTCCTCTCTGCCATTCGGGGCATAGATTGTGAAGGTCCTGCTGCTTTTCAGATCACCTGTCCAGGCAGCCTGCAGATCTGTACCTCCCTGTCTTCTTAGAGGCCTCCCCCCAACCCATGGAAAGGGGCCTTCCCACCGCCCTCCCAGGTGCTCCCACCAAGGGGTGACTCTCCCGTCACTCACTTTCCATCATTAGCACCCAGCACTATCTGTGTGACAGTTCTGTTCCTTACATTGGTTGGCTTATTTATTGGCTATTACTTGGTTACTGTCCTCCTCTTAGAGTTAGGGGATTTGGGAGGTTGAAAGTCAGGTCTCAAATTGATTGATAAGATCCCTCTGTGTGTGTGTGTGGTGGGGGGTTGTTTGTTTTTTTTTTAAGATTTTATTTATTCACGAGAGATACACAGAGACTGAGGCAGAGACATAGGCAGAGGGAGAAGCAGGCTCCCTGTGGGGAACCCAATGCTGGACTTGATCCCAGGACCTGAGTCAAAGGCAGACACTCAACCACTGAACCACTGAGCCACCCAGGTGCCCCCCACTCTTTCTTAAAATGAGGTAGTAAATGATGGGGTGCAGAATTCCCAGAGCAGGCCTCAGTCTGGGGTTTCTGATATCCCTCTCTGCTCAGGTCAGGGTGGAGTGACGTCATCCCCAGTGTCCACCTGCCCCCCCCCCCCAGCCCTCTGTGTGGGGAGTAGCCTCCCCTCGGATTGTCTGCTGAAAAGAGCAAGAGACGCCCCGTGTTCTAGAGAAGACGAGCAGAAATTTGTGCTCAGCGTAGCTTCATGGACATTGTCTGGTCCCTGCTGTTCCCTTTGGGCCATGACCCACATGCCTCTTTTACACTCGAGATGATTCGCTCCTGAAGGAAAAGTAAGAGTAGAGCCAGGTGGTAGGCTTCTCTAATATCTCACAGAAGAATTTCAAGCTAACAAAATGTGTATAAATTCTCATAATAAAAAGCAAACAATAAAAGCCATGGTCTTAAAAGCTGCTGCTTTGTTCTCTTCCTCTGGAATCACATGATTAGTCCATGGGGATGAGGTGGTTCGTTTTATTTATCAGGACTACCTGTTCCCGATTGAGGCCAACTCATCCCATGGCCAATAGACCGTGGCCTGCTTCCCATGCATGTTTCATGTCCCTTCCTGGGATGTAAATGCATCGCTGGCACCCAGCACAGTGCCTGGCACACATGGGAGGCAGGTAGGGAGAGGCTAGGTCAGGGGTCCAGACTGGAGCTGGTGGTGGTTGGGACTCAGATGGTTGCAGGGGAGCTAGTTGGAAAGGGGGTGGCTATTTGGAGGAGTCAAGCAACAGGGTTTACTGATGGAGGGAGAGGTCATGAATGAAAGGAAAGATAGCTTGCAGTTACTCTAGCAGCACTGCCTGGATTCTTCAAGGATTCAGTTGGATTCTAGTCTCTGGTTCCTCAGTAACCACCAGCCAGGATCCTGGCTCTAGGTGCCTCCTGAGTGCAAGTCGCATGACTTGCGTTTGGTCCCTATTTTGCTTGTCTACGTAGCATTTAGCATCCTTAACAATACCCTCTTCTTTATAACAAAATGAACCTTTCCCCTGCCAAATGCAGAAGGAATACAGCCTTCTTACGAAAACTTGGAAAAGTTAGAAGACCCCACAAAATAGCTTAGATTACCCATGCCCCACTATTGAAAGATAAGCTCTGAGGTATGTCCTTAAAATCCTTTTCCTGGTACATATTTGTACACATATGTACACATAAAAGCAAGAATATTTTGTTCAAAATTGTGTCCTGTTGTATGTTGTGTTTCACCCTGTACGTGATGGTATAGTGTGATAATTTTCCCACGTCAGGATAGTTGTGTGTCATGATTTTAGTAACCCCCAGGTACTGCCTCATCCTACAAATGGAGCATATTTGCTTTTAACTAATTCCTGGCATTAGGTTTCTGTGATTCCAGATTTTTTGGTATTAGGATTCTAATACGGGTTTGTGCACCTTCTGAATCTTTTCCTTAGCAAAAATGTCTGAGTGTAATTATTGTGTTCAAAAGGCTGAGATTTATTTTTTTCAAAGTGAAGTGCTTTTTCGCCTATCTCTAAAAGCAATACAGGGATTTTTTTTTTTTTTTTTTTTTTTGGGAAAGAGTAAATACAAATAAAGCATTACAGAAGGCTCAAAGAACGGAACGTAATACCCTCCCCGGCATAAGCACTGTTAATGTGTTAACGTATAGTTTCAATTTTTCCTTAAAAACGTGTATCTTTTGATGCATATAGCCACATTTCCCTGTGGCTTCACTTGTCCCCAAAACAATGTGCCAGCAGCCCTGAAAGCACCATTAAGTGCCTTCCTGGCCTCATTTGCCTGTGCTTATGCCACTGTGCCATATACCCCTGTCTCCCCATCACCCATAATAAAGACTGTTGCAAAGCATGGCTTTTTAAGAGGACAGAGATTTATACTTGCTTACTATCACCCAGCTGGATAACCCTGCCATCCTGTCTCTGTTGCTCTCTAGGAACTTAGAGGAAGCAAAAAGTGTATAGGGATGTGGATTAATAAAGCCATATGGAACAGCAGGAAAAGAACACACGGTACCTAAGAGTCTAGCCGACCTGGATTCGTATTCTGGTTTTGATTCTCCACCTTGGGCAGGTTACCTGACCCTGCCAAACTCCCTCTCTCTGCCTGGAATCCAGGGCGGTGATGCCTTTACACAGGGGGTGAGAATGGATTTAGAGAACACATAGCAGGGTCCTAGCTATAAGTGACAGCCACAAGTCCTCGCTGGACTCTTGGAAAGCATCCTGTTTGGCAAAGAGAGCCACTTGTGCTGAGAAGTTAGGTGGGGGTGTCCAGGCAGCAAGGAGTCTTGTGGGCTTCCTCCATTGGGGTTCACACAACAGGTAGCTTGTGTCACCTACAGTGGAGCCTGTTTTTCTATTCCCTCTGTTCCAGGTTCTAGCGGGATGGGCGCTTATCACGGGAAATACAGCTTTGATACTTTTTCTCATCAACGTCCCTGTTTACTAAAAAGTTTAAAGAGGGAAGGTGCTAACAAGCTCAGGTATCCTCCCAACAGCCAGTCAAAAGTGGACTGGGCGAAATTTTTCATCTTGAAACGCTTCAACAAAGGAAAACTCAGTCTGCTGGTACTAACTTTCCTGGGCATTTTGGCGGCTGTGCTTGTCAAGGTGAGTACCGGTCTTTCTGGTCCCACCCAGATGGCTATCGGATGCACCTTTTCTGTTGTGGGACCTCTCTCATTTTACAAACGAACTCTGTCTGTTAGGCTAACTTGCCGAGTCCAGGACCGGGTTGGTGAACAGCAGCCTGCCCACTGTCTTCTGGGGGTGTCAGCCATAACCACCTGCTGACTTTGCATGGCCAAAGTCGAGTATTTGCAATAGTGGCTATGCGACCCGCAGAGCCTAGATGATCATAGAAGAAGTGTGTCGATCTCTGGCTGAGGAGTTTAAAACCCTGGGGTACCTGGTGGCAAAGCCGGTAAAGGGTCTGATTCTTGGTTTCGGCTCAGGTCATGATCTCAGGGTCGGTCATGAGATTGAGTCCTGCTTGGGGATCTGCACTCAGCAAGGAGTCTGCCTGGGGATTCTCTCTCTCTTCCTTCCGCCCCACTGCTGGCACTCTGTATCTTTCTCAAATCAATAAATCTTTAAAAAAAAAAAAAAAGTTTAAAACCTCACAGAACTTGCAGCATTCTGAGCTGTCCAGTCCTCTGATCCTTGTGGTATTGGTGTCTCGGTTTCAGTGTAGTTCTCCAGTGTGTCTGGAATCTGCATGCCGGGCAGGAGAGGGGGAGAATTCTTTGGCGGGTGATGGCAGTCATGACGCAGCTTTGGCAAGGGAAGCGCGAGCATTTCTTTTCCACAGTTGACCACCATATAAGTTATGTCTTTGGTGATTAGTTATTGTAGAGACATGGGCTCCTGGGTGGCCCACGATACCTGGCTTCCCAAGGCAGGTCGTGTCTCCTCGGGGTGAAGGAGAAGACCCAAGACTGCAGAAGTTAGGACGGAGTGGGCACAAGGCCACCATGTCCTTGGAGTTCCCAGCTAGGTGACTGAGGAGCTGTGTTGCAAACAGTGACAACATGCGTGAACAGTAGCCTTGGAAAAGAGGCAAGTTTCTAGCATTTAATGGAAATACCTGTGTTCACTATGTGGACCTTGTGTTAAGTTTGAAAGGGGGTTAGCTCATCTTGCAGTACCACAGCTTTGGTGGCATTGGAGACACCAGTTGCATTTGAAATCATTTGGGTTTTCTCAGAAATACCAAGCTGTGCTGAGGAGAAAGGCCCTGTTGAGTTTTCTGGGAGTTCAGACTGTATTGTCCAATAAGCAGTGATGGCCAGCAGATTCCAGGACCAGCTCTCTCTGTTAAGAGTGAGGTAGGAGCTGCTTGTTTTCTCTCTATATGTAAAGCGGGCCACTTTGGGGTCTGATCTGTCTTAGTGGTTAGTTTTCCTCTAGCGGGAGGCTTAAGGGTCATTGAAAAACTCTCCAGACATTTTGGAGCCCGGCCCAGACTATCAGTGTTAAAATGTGACTTAGCCCTACTTTAAGAAGAGCGAGGGTGGCTTACTGGGATCTTAAAAAATGTGTGGAGGTAATGACTCAGCTGGGTCTAGATGAAGCCCTCATCTTTTCTAGAAAAAGGAGAGTCACGTGTGCTCCCCCTCCCACCTCCCCTCCACTCAGCCCTTCTGGAGGTCGCCCCACTGACTGCCTCAGATCTGTAGGTACATGCACACTGAGAGCTCTTTTATAATTGAAGACCACTCTTCTAAAAAATAAAAATTCTGTCCCTTTGAGTTGTTTGGGTGCTTCAAAAGAAGTTTGACTCAGAATTCCTGGTGGCAAACTGAGTGAATCAGAACCTTGTGTGCAGTATAGAGGCTTTTGATTCCTGCCTCTGCATCGTCCTGAGGTCTGAGGTGTGCGTGGGTCTCTGGTTATTATCTTCTCTTGTCCCAAGGCACCAGTCCCCAGCCTGAAACACACCTTCTTTCTGGGGATGGGACTTCTTAGCACCATGGAAAATTCAGAGGCCTGTGATCCTCATAGAACCCAGGAAGGCTCCCATGGGTGCAGCATGCAGGGGCAGACAGGCTAGGGCAGGCCAGTTAGCTCCCAACAGGTTTGGCAGACAAGCTTTCCTCTGTGAACGTCTAGAGAAACTGTATAAAAACATGTAGTTTGGAGACAAGAAAATGTGGCTTTGATTCCTGGCTCTGAGATCAGCTGAATTACAATGGTGAGCAAGGCCTTTGCTGAGCGCCCCCCCTTCGGCCTCAGGTTCCTCATCCATAGGATGAGGGCAGCCAGCAGTGGTCTCCGACGGGGAGACCTCAGCAACCATTCCTGTGAGCTGATGTCCAAGTGGCTCGGACCTTTTTAGATTTCATGTGGGACCAGTTAGGGTTTGGTTTTCTTTTCCTCTTTGCTGCTTCTCTGCTCTTCTTTCTGAGCTCCTGTCCTCTCTTTATTAAGTCTACCTTTTATTTTAAATAAGTGGTTCTGAGCCCACGTTGTACATTTATTTGAGCAGTCTTCATTGCAACTGCAGTAATTTTTCTGAAATGGCTTTTCTGCACTTAGTAGACATTTTGTTATGTGTTCGATTGTGATTTGATTAATTCACTTCACTAGAATGAGAACGGGCTTGGGACATTTTTAAATGGGAATATAGGGGATCCCTGGGTGGCTCAGCAGTTTAGCGCCTGTCTTTGGCCCAGGGCGCAATCCTGGAGTCCTGGGATAGAGTCCCATGTCGGGCTTCCGGCATGGAACCTGCTTCTCCCTCCTCCTGTGTCTCTGCCTTTCTCTCTCTCTCTCTCGCTATCTCTCTCTCTCTCGCTCTCTCTTAAATAAATAAATAAATAAATGGAATTTGAAAGCAGCAATTATCAGTTGAAAGGGAGCATGTCAAAACCTCAGAGTGGAGAGGAGTTCTCTATGCACTTAAAACGTGTGTGTGTGTGTGTGTACACATGTACACAAAGTAAAGTTCCAACAGAGTTTAATATAAGCCACAGAAAGATGGTGGGGGCTGTGGGTTTTTAAATGTTGAGAAATATGAAAGGTTACAATTGTTAGGTATCATGAAGCCTTTGAAAATTCAGGATATTGTTAGAAATCTGAGGTGGTAGCAAAACTTCTTCGGCCTCAGTAGGTACGGATCCTGTTCAGTACGCTTTGGATTTTAGAAGCACAATTGTTTATGAGTTTTCAGATTTCATGTAGGGACTCCAGTCGCCCGTTCACAGCTGGAGGATAGGAGGTGAACATTTTCCATTCCCAGTTCAACTCTGATGTTGTCTCACAACACTAAATAGAACACCGCCCCCACCACCACTCCCTGCCTTGTTATTGTTCTTTTGTACGAGAGGACATAGTCTTTTGTCCTCAGCCCACACCGCACTTTGCTTCTTAGGGATGCAGGGACCTTTTATATACAGTGTATTTAGCGTCTTTTAAAATGGGAAGCATTTGGTAGAGTCCTGAAATGGAACCGGTTCATGTTCCAGGGCTGGTTGGGCGGGGTTTTACACCAGCAGTGAGACTTGAATCTCTTTCTCCTCTCTCTAGGTTGGATACTACTGAAGAAGGATCCTGTTCAACCTCCTAGATGCCTTTACTGAGTTATTTCTCTATTAAATACTTAATGAACCAATCGTTTTAAAATCCTACCAAAAATAGTAAGGAAAACTACAAATGCACCATAATCAAATCTAAAAGTCATTGCCATTCACCATGGATAAAACTTGCCATGTCAGCCAAACTCCAGTCCTCCCCCCCACTGTTGGGTGACTCGGAGAAGCAATTTGGCGTTGTGTCACCCAGACCTTAGAGCTTGAGTCTAGGGGAGGAGATGTGTTACGCTAAACCCGGACTCTTTGGGAGATGTAAAAGAGTCTCCGAACCTGTTGAGTGACTTCTTCATTCCAGTTCATGGGACACAGGGCACCCTGCCCCCACTGCTGCCTTATGCCATCTCTCTGTGGAGCCATCAGCCTTTGGCTTCCAGAGAAGTGGAGCTAGATCTTCCCAGCTCTGCTTAGGGTTTGATGCACTGGAATTGTATATGGGTTGGTGGTGGGAATTGATCCTGTCTCTCATCCATTGGGACATAAGGATTTGACGTTCGGGAGTCAACCCTCCTGTCAGTGCCATCTGACCAGTGGTCTTCCTACTTTCTCATCCATTCTCCACCCTCTTGTGTTTTGTTGGGGACAGTTGTTTTGTGGCTGTCTACAAATGCCTTTTGTGACTAATACCATGCAAAACATCTTGTATTTCCCAGGGCTTCCAGGGAAGACCGTTGCCAATTTCACAAAAGTATCATCTGTTACTTCCTGTGTAGGCATAGAATTCTGCATCTTACAAAACCTAACTGGTATGATTTTATGCTGTAATAAAATGACTTATAACAATACTTATTCTCTCTCAGGATGTTACAGTTTCAAGTCAGTGGATCTTGAAGGACAAATCTTTACATTTCTTACGTCCCATAGCACAATGCTAATAAATTTCACGTTTCTGAACCTCAGAGGGATCCCCGTCTGAATAAGTTCAGCGTTCAGGACTTAATGTGGAAAGCCACCTCCTGTCATGGACAAGAGGCCTTGGATATTTAGGACTTTGGAGCTGGAGAGCCTCCGAGGGGCTGATGGTGGATGGTTTGGAGGCAGACTCTGTAAGCCATAGCAGTTGGCCACGCTGAAGGGGACGGAGGACATAGGAAGGAGAGGAACGGGATCTCCTGAGCCTGGCCCAGACATGAGACCAGGTGCTTCAGCTAGGTGGGAAAGAGCCCTGTGGAATGCAGCTTCCCTGCCAGGCTGTGGTGACTCCTGGTTGCAAGGGCTCCACCCTCCCCGCCTCTGCACGATGAGAAAATGTGTGATTTAATCACAGGGTGAGGTATCAAGAATTCATCACTAGGTGAGATTAAGAAACAGCTGCTTAACACTGTCACTTCATCAGGATAATTGGTCATAAAATATCTCAGAACTTCAATATGGAGTTTTCATGTAGTATATTAAATTGTATGTTCTAATTTCTAGTTAAACTAAATTATTGCCTCGACTATTCACATATTCTGCTTCAAAATAAATACACTATATTTGCTAAAACTGGTATGAAGTTTAATAACATTCTTAGCATGGAACCTCTTATGCCCTGTCGGAGACAATTCTTTGGCTATAAGTTTTCCCCAACTACAAATCCATTTTTTGCCTTAATCTATCACAGGTAGTATTTATCAACTTTAAGTCTTGCTTTCTCATTTAAATTCTTAGCCAAGATTTCTCTTTCTGTCATTTGTGTGTTTTTTTTTTAAACAGAGGAAGAGGTGGGGGGAGGGGCAGAGGGAGTAGAAGAAAGATTCTCCAGCCGACTCCACATGGAGCACAGAGCCCACACAGGGCTGCATCTCATGACCCTGAGATCATGACCTGAGCCGAAATCAAGAGTCGGATGCTTAACTGAGCCACCCAGGCGCCCCTGTGAGTTTTTATTTTTTAAAATGCCTATATAGTAAATAGGTTTTTTTCAACGACACCCTCTTATCTCCATTTGCTCATCTAAAGCAAGCTTTTCTGTAAGCCTGTTCCCAGAACACTAACCCCATAAGGTTTTACACAAAAGTTGATCCCGCTACCCATCCTGTCTACCAGGATTCATAAAGCACTGGAGCATCTTAAAGGATCCAAGGCCATAGAACCTTTGCAGTGCTGGTGTGGGTTGCCCAAACTTACTTGACCATGAAAGCCTTTTGTCTGAATACCCTTTAACCTTAGAACACATTTGGGGAAATGACATTATTTTCCTGTGCTCTGTTCCCAGTCGTTCTGTTTGGTTGCCAGCAGCTCAGTGAGGTATGTGTGTCCCAGACGAGGATACCCACCTTCCTGGGAGTGGGTGACCTCGAGTATCACCAGGTTCTAAATACCACATGGATTCGCGTTGAGTCTTTGAAACTGGGATGACATTCTATGGATCCATTTTTTCTATGGGCTTTGATGCAGAAACTCATTTTGTGAACGTGTTTATAGCTACTGATGCCGAAGGGACTGAGGGGAGGCCAGGCTGCCCTCCATTCTGGATGGTGACACACAGCCTGATGTGGAGAGCCTGAGGATGTTGGGCAGGTCCCAGGCCTCCAAGAAGAGCGTCCTAGAATTTGGGTTAGTGTTGCCTTCCATCCCGAGGCCGTTGTGGCCAGGCCATCTGGGTTTTGCTGTCCTTGTTTATATCTGATCACTGCTGGAAGAACAAGTGTTTCTCAAGGTCTGTGATCAGCGCGATGAGGACGGAATGAAAGGTGAGGGGAGAGGCAAAGGAGGGTCCGTGGATCTTCCTCGTCAGGGTTTCACGGCTCCCAGATCTGCAGGGGTTTGTGGGGGCAGGGGCACCGGGGATCATGGTGCACTGCGCTTCCCTGGGCAGGGCCCCCCGGCCCCCTTCTCAGAGCCTCACAAAGGCCTTGTGAACAGACCTGGGCATCAGAGTCTCCTAGGAGATACATAATTTTTAATTGGGTAGGGGTGTTTTCGGTCTTCGTGTTTTGATTTGCAACCTCCTAGTTTGAAGCCTCTCTGACTCTCCTTGGTCAGCTGATGGCTGCTTAAAGAGCAGAGGCGAAAAAGCCAATTTGACAGACCTGGTGTGTCACAAGAATTGCCGGCTGTAGACCTTTTTCGTAAGTGTGGTCAAAGTATCCACCCACACTGCATCATGTGGGTGCTGTTGGAGGGGGCCCACTGTGTGTGCAGGTGGGGACGGCCACTCCTGGCCCCCTTTCTGTCTCCCAGCTGCGTGGCTAGTGTCTGGTGGTCAGGAGCCTGATGACCAGGCCCACCGTCAGCATGGCTGATGCCACCACCAGAGCAGCCCCACGGCGGATGACCAGCTGTTTCACCGACAATATGCTGGCCGGTGCTGAAAGGGCATGGGCTGCTTCTGGGGTCCTGAAGAGGTCCAGGTGGCACTCGGGCCTTGAATACGTCATCAGGGTGATGCCAGGGGAGCTACCCGTAGCCACTGCAAACAGGAGCAAACTTAGCAGGACTGGGGGGTTGGGAGAGGGCTGTGGCCTTAGGATCAGGAAGCCGCAGGCCCCCCAGGTGGCTCAGCGGTTGAGCACCTGCCTTCGGCTCAGGGCATGATCCCGGGGTCCCGGGATTGAGTCCCATGTCAGGCTCCCTGTGGGGAGCCTGCTTCTCTCTGCCTGTGTCTCTGCCTCTCTTTCTGTGTCTCATGAATAAATAAATCTTAAAAAAAAAAAAAAAAAAAAAAAACCCAGCTGCATTCATGATGCTGGGTGACAGTGAATAGACCTCTGTGCCTTACAACAGAAAAGGCTTGGCCCAGGAGAAAAATACCAACCTCATCTACTCAGCAGGATCAGAGGAGGCAATTATTTGGCAAGACATCTCAAAACGTGAGTTTGGCACAGAAATAGTTACTGCTAAATTGACATTAATGTGGGATACCTGGGTGGCTCAGTGGTTGATCATCTGCCTTCAGCTCAGGTCCTGATACTGGAGTCCTGGGATCAAGTCCCACATTGGGCTCCCCACAGGGAGCCTGCTTCTCCCTCAGCCTGTGTCTCTGCCCCTCTCTGTGTGTCTCTCATGAATAAATCAAAAATCTTTTTTAAAAAGTTGACATTAATATGTTCCTACCTGAGCCTCTCCTTGTGATGACAAGTGATACATCAAGTGTCACTTTCACACACATCTAACAAGCACATGTTAAATGCTTAGTCGGACCTGGCTGTCATCTCGTGACACTTGAAGCTCCCAGAGTTTTGACCAGCTAGCTCCCTACTGTGCTGATGAAGGCAGAGCGCAGGACAGGATGAGGTCACCAAGGTGAGTGTAGTGTCTGGGTGACGTATGTGCAAGCCCAGCACTCCACACCTGCCTGGCCCTAGGAGAGCCCCTGTGCCTCAAGCCGAGGCCCTCACTTCATCAGAGAGACCCTGGATAGAAGCCAGAGGTTCCCACCTGTCCTATGGGGTACAGAGAGGTAGGTAGGGCAGGGGAAGGGCCCCCCAGCCAGCAGGGCTGCTATTGGCCAGGATGTGGCCTCCTGCCCTGGGCTGGTGTTCAGTGAGGAGAAGGAGCTCCAGGGCCTGACTCTTCTTACCCTTTCTGGTTGTGGGACCACGGGGATGACACTGAAGCGCTCAACCTGCCTTCCTCATCCAAGAATGGGGCTGCAGCTCACTACCTCACAAGGCTAAGGATGTGAAGTACTTCGTGCAAAGCCTGTTAAATCCGAGGTAGTAGCGCCATCCTCCTGGTACTTAGGACATTGTATCCGTGCCAAGAGGAAGAACAGCAGCTTGGGCTTGCACTGTTCCCACTTTTGCCCGAGGCCCACATGCAGGGCAGCCAGGGGTGGGGTGTCACCAGCATGGTGTGTGCCTGGCAGAAGTGCCGTGACCACATTACCTGAGGATGTGACAGCCTTCGCAGGCCCGGGTCTGGGGGCCGTGCTCACCGTGCTCACCGCGCCGTTGGGGCTCTGCGGCAGCAGCCCCGCATGCTTCTGAGCCTGCAAGAGCAAGAGCTCGCCTGGGTCAGCCTGTCAGCCCTCCGGATCACCACCGGCCTCATCAGTGCCCTGCCTTAAAACATCATATGCTCAGGGCACCTGGGTGGCTCAGTGCTTAAGTGTCTGCCTTCTGCCCAGGTCATGATGCCAGGGTCCTGGGATCGAATCTTGCGTCCGACTCCCTGCTCATTGGGGAGCCTGCTTGTGCTCTCTCACTCTCTTTCAAATAAGTAATTAAAAAAAAATACCATTGTAAGCTAAAGCAGTGCATGTTCATATAGTCTTTGTTTGGGAGTGGGGGCTTCAAGGTGGTGGTGTATAAAATCTGTGTATTTATGCACTGTCTTGGATGCCGAGATGATCTGATCCACACGAAGGCGGAGCCATGCCCTGCTGGGATTCGGGATCTTTGCGAGAAACCTTCCCCCACCACCTGCTGCCTCCACCCCCGGCTCTGCCTTAAGACTGAGCTGGGTGCCTTTACTGTGTGAGAAGCAAATGCTGGCCTGCACTATTTTTTTTAGGAATTTATTCATTTATTCATAGACACAGAGAGAGAGGCAGGCTCCCTGCAGGGAACCTGATGCAGGACTCGATTCTGGGACACCAGATCACACCCTGAGCCAAGAGCAGACGCTCAACCGCTGAGCCACCCAGGCGTCCCTCTGCTTCTCCTTGTAATCGGAGAGCGTACCTCCAGGGGCCGGGGCCCCTCCGTGCCCCCCGCAGCTTATCCCACGGACGCCCGCTGCAGAGGCCTGCCGCGCTCCGAGCGCTCCTGGGCAGCAGGCAGTGCCCCCCCAGGCCGGCGCCCCGGCTCGCTCACCTCCTCGGCAGCTAGCTTCCAGTCCATGCGGGCCGTGTAGACCGCGAAGGCGGCGGCTGCCAGGAGGCCGCAAGCCAGCATGCCCAGCCAGAGGCCTGCGGGAGACAAGCCACGGTGGGGACCGGGGCCCAGGGCTCCCGGGACCCTCCCCACCTTCCCTCGCAGCACCTACCCATGATTCTCATTCTGACCACAAAGGTCAGAACGATGCCCAGAGGGAGGCCAATGACGTAATACATGACTGCGTTCGCAATGGCTCCGAAGGCCTGTTTGCCGGTTCCCCTCAGGACTCCGCCGTAGACGCACTGGGAGGGGAGGCGGAAAGGGGGAGAGGCAGGTGTGCGGCTGGCAGCAGGCCGCCTGCCTCGGGCTCTTTCCCAGGCCACTCGTGTTGCAAGGCCTCCTGTCACTCCGCCCCGGGACAGCCCTCTGTCCCCTTCTGTGGGGAGACCGAGTCAGGGCGAGTCGCCTGGCCACGGTTGCACAGAATAGCTGTGTTGTGAACACAACCCCAGAGCCGCACCCTGCCTCCCCTCTTCACCTCCACACGTGACTTCCTCTCTAGAAGTCAAGGTAGCACTGGCGACCACCCACCAGCTGCTCTGGGAGACTAGACCGCCGTCACACAGAGTTGTGTTCACAGAGTTGTGTTGTGCTTCTTTCCCACCGCTGCCCTAGCAAATTACTGTAAATTAGCGACATAGAACAAGACACGCATACTGTGTTCTGGTTCTGGAGATGACAAGTCTTGCATATAATCCAAGATCATCTCCCCAGCTCAAGACCTTTAGTTTAATCACGTCTGCAAAATCCCCTCATGCCACATGACATGGACAGGGCCAGGGATTAGGATGTGGCTATCTTTGGGGGCCGTTATTCTGGGTACAGCACATGACAAGCAGAGGTGTCATCTGTTCCGGGAGAGACGTGCAGCCCTGGCTCACTGCTGTCACCCGAATGCTCACAGACAGGAACTCACTCTGCTTTCTTTTACTGGTCTCTTCCTCCTAACCGGATCTCCGACCTAATGAACTGAAGAACTACAGCCACAGTTCGTGATGAATAGATATTTGATTGTTTTTATCTCCTTAAGATGAAGGATGTGGAGTATGTTGTGGTTTGCTTTCACACGTTTGAGCAGAGACGTGATGCATTCGGGATAGAAGACGTGTGCCTCTTGGACTTGGAAATGTGGTGTGTATGTTACTTGTGTTTATGTATCATGACATAAATGATATTTTTCAGTTAGAAAAAGACTTCTCCCAAATTGTGATTGATGAGCTCTGGACAAGTATTTGTCAACTTTGCCCTCCAAGGGACATTTGGCAATGTCTGGAGATAATTTGGGTGGTCACAACGGGGGGAGGGGGAGGGGTGTTGCTATTGGCACCTAGTGGGTTGAGACCAGGGATGCTGCTAAACATCCTGCATGCACAGGGCAGCCTCCCTTATAATAATTATCCATCCTGAAGTGTTATGGTGCCAAGGTTGCAAAGCCTTTTAGAGCATTTTGAATTAGAGTGACGATCTCCAGGGGCAAGCACACCAGAAGGGCCGTCACCCCCACCCCACCCCTTTTGGTTGAGAAGATTATGGGCCTGTTTGGATCAGTGCTCTAGACAGGGACTTGACAGGGAGGTGAAACAGCAGGGTTGTAGGGGCGGGGGGCTCGCTAAGTTCTCCACACATTCCAAATTGATTGGAGGCCGTGCATACGTGCGGCAGAGACCAGAGCAGGCCCAAGCTTCCCACACAGTGCCAACAATGGAGCCTGTGCCCACGGATACTCAAGAGAACCCAGGAGAAAGTCAGAACTGGGCAGACTGGGAAACAGCCCACAGTTGGATCCTTCAGCAGAGAATGGCAGCCTTACCAGCTGTCAGAGCTGTTCAAACATAACGTATCCTCTAGCTAATAATTGCCTGCACACCAAGCTAATGCAGACAAAGCAGTGACCCCTAGCAAGCTAGGTCTAAAAGAGAAAAAAAAACCCAAAACCAAAAAACCGGAAACAAAACTGAGGAGAGAGAGCAGCTGCAGGTTTGTAGAGGAGGCAGGATTCACGGAAATAATCTGGGCAAATTACCAAATAAAACAACAAGCCTAGGGGATCCCTGGGTGGCACAGCAGTTTGGCGCCTGCCTTTGGCCCAGGGTGCGATCCTGGAGACCCAGGATCGAATCCCACATCAGGCCCCCCGTGCATGGAGCCTGCTTCTCCCTCTGCCTGTGTCTCTGCCTCTCTCTCTCTCTCTCTGTGACTATCATAAATAAAAAATAAAAATAAAATAAAATAAAAAACAACAACAACAAGCCTTGGGGAAAGTGTGTGTGTGTGTGTGTGTGTGTGTGTGTGTGTGAATAACATTCTCTGGGATGGGTCTGTGCTAGACCACACAGCAGAATTATTTTTTTTAAGATTTTATTTATTTATTCATGAGAGACAGAGAGAAGCAGAGACACAGGCAGAGGAAGAAGCAGGCTCGCTGTGGGAAGCCTGATGCGGGACTCGATCACAAGACCTTGGGATCATGACCTGAGCCAAAGGCAGGTGCTCAACCCTGAGCCACCCAGGTGTCCTCACAGAGCAAAATTAAATTAGAGACATGGACAAGAAAGAAATCTGGGAATACCACCCAATATTTAGAAGTTAACGTACTTCTAAACCCATGGGTCAAAGAATCAAGAACAGGAGAAATTAAAATATTTTGAATGAAAAGTAAAATAATATATCACATTTATTAGATGCTGCTAATGCAGTACTTCGAAATGCCTAGATCCAAAAAGAAGAAAGGCCTCAAATCAATAGCCCAATATTCCACCCTAAGAAACCAGGAAGGGCAAACTATACTGAAATAATGCAGAAGGATGGGAATAAAAATGATGAGACTGGAAATCACAGAAACAGAGAACAGAAAAGCCACAGAAAATCAACAAAATCCCAAGTTCTAGTTCTTTGATAAGATCCACAAAACTGATGAACACTTGCCAAGGATTTGACTTTGGTAAAATAAGACAAAGAAAATAAGAAAGTGAAGACATGTATTACCAAAATCAGGAATTAAAGAAGGGACATTACCACTGACCATAACGGAAAGGACTGTAAGGAAGTATTGCAAACAACTTCATGCCAGAGAACTAGGCAAATGCAGCTGAAGTGAGTAAATAACTAGAAAGACACAGATTAGTGAAAGTAACTCAGAATCATTCTGTGAGGCCAGTGTTACCCCGATACCAAAGGCAGATTAAGATATCACAAAGAAAAGATAAGAATTAGCAGAAGAATATCCTTCATGATTGCAGACGCAAAAACTTGAATGAAATGTTAGCAAACCAAATTCAGTGGTAGATAAATAAGATCTATACCGTGGTCAGGAGGGCCTTACCCCAGGAATACAGAGTATAACATTTGCAAATCAATTAATGTAATTATATCGTATTGATAGAATAAGGGACGAAAGCCACTTGATTATCTCAATAGACACAGAAAAGGCATTCTAGAAAATCCAATGCCATTCATGAGAAAATGTTTTAACAAACTAAGAGTAAAAGGGCTCTTTTTCAGCCTGATAAAGGGTGTTTATAAAACCCTACAACTAACATTTAATGCTGAAACACTGAACACTTTAGCCCTAAAGTTGGGAATAAGGCATAGATTGTGCTCTCACCACGTGTATCCAGCATCCTCTTGGAGTTCTAGCCACATGGAAAGGGGGAAGTAAAACTCTTTATTCACAGATGATCTGATCCTATATGAAAACCTTAAGGGAATCCACACACACACAAAACTACTTGAATGAGTTTAACAAAGTCACAGGATGAAAGATGAATGAACAAAGATCATATTTCCATAAGCTGGCAACAATAACCTAAAAATGAAATTAAGACACCAGTTCCATTCACAATTGCATCCAAAAAAAAAAAAAAAAACCCAAATACTTAGGGATACATTTCACAAAAATGGTGCCAGATGTGTTCCCTGGAGACTACAAAACATCATTGGATAAAGAGGACAGAAATAATTGGAGAGACATTCAGTGTCCATGGATTGGAGGCCCCACTATTGTTAAGATGACAGTTCTCCCACAATTGTCCTGTAGATTCAACACAATTCATTTCAAAACTCCCAGCAGGGAGAAGGGGAGGAGTGAGTAGGTGGCACATGGATTTTTAAGGCAGTGAAATCATTCATATGATACTGTAATGGTGGTTACATATCCTTAAACATTTGTCAAAACCCATGGACTCCACAATACCACGAGTGACCCCCTACTATGAGCTCTGGACCTTATTAACATATGGATATTCCCTCACAATTAATAACTACTAATAAGATGTGAATAATAAGGGAAACTGAGGGAATGGAGATTTATGGGAACTCTCCATTTCCTGCTCAATACTTCTGCCAACCTAAGACTGCTAATTAAAATCTATTAATTTTGTTTCTCAGGACACCTGGGTGGCTCAGTGGTCGAGCACCTGCCTTTGGCTCAGGGTGTGATCCTGGGGTCCTGGGACCCAGTCCCTCATCAGGCTCCCTGCATGGAGCCTGCTTCTCCCTCTGCCTGTGTCTCTACCTCTCTCTCTCTCTCTCTCTCTCTCTCTCTCTCTCTCTCTATCTCTGTGTGTGTGTGTGTCTCATGAATAAATAAAATCTTAAAAAAATTTTTTGTTTGTTTCTCAAAAGACAATATCAAGAATTAGCAAGGAAGCAGAAAAACCAGACCCCTCATATATTGCCAGTGGGAATAGAAGATGGTATGGCCACTGCAGAAAACAATCTGGCAGTTTCTTAGGAAGTTAAACATATACTTCCAATAACTGAATACTCAGGACTCTACCAGGAGAAATGAAAACAGTCATCCACACAGAGACTCGTGTGTGAATGTCCCCAGTGGCCTTGGTCAGCACAGCCAAAAAGAGAAACAACCCCAATGTCCATCAACTGGAGAAACAAAATGGGTTCTGTGCGCACAATGGGCTATTATTCAGTCTTTGAAAGAAACGAAGTCCTGAAAAATGCTACAGCCTCAGAAACAGTATGCCAAGTGAGGGTAACCAGTTACAAAAGACGACATGCAGGATTCCCTTTATAGGGAATGTTCCTGAAAGGCCAAGTTCACACAGACAGCAGATCTGTGGATTACCCACGGCTGGCCCTGGAAGCTTGGATTGACTGCAAAACAGGCTCTAGGAAATGCAGAGGTGGAGGGTGGGCAATGGAAATACTCCAAAACTGGATTGTCATGATGGTTGCACAATGCTACATGCATGCATTTTATGGTATGTAAATTGCAACTCAATAAAGTGAGTTTTTTTTTTTAAAAAAAGCTTTTTTTTTTTTAAATAGCTTCAAGGAGAACTTAAATTAAGAATAACATAGCCAGGAGGGAAGATGATAGGTTGCAGATAATAGTTTGCAGAAAACTCGGGTGCCTCTGGGTTGACTCCCTCCCTCTCAAACGGGTCCCTGGGTCCCTTTGTGCACCCACAGGGTGCGGCTGATGGTGAACCTCTGACCAATAGGGGGCAGGGCTCCCTCAGCTCACAAGGAATCAGGAAGGAAGATTTGTGAGTTTGTGCTGGTGTAATTTTTTTCAGTTTTATACTGCTCTCCCTTCATCTTTTGGCTTGTGGGAATTGTAGAAGGGAAGGGGGGGTCGTCGTTTCGAATAATGATACAATGAACGCACGCACGGCTGTGGGCACTTACTGTGCAGTTAGCCCTTCTCACGACTTAATGAGTCAACCCTCCCGTCCCATGGAGGGGGCCCTGAACTTGAACTCAGGCTTCACACCAGGGCAGTACTCACACAGATGGCCTCAAACAGCTGAAAGACGATGTAAATCGGCAAGACCTTGTTCACCAGGGCAATGACCTCTCTGCAGAAGAGACAGGAGGAACATTCATGTGCAGCACGCCAGTATGACCGTGAGACCTCGGGACTCCCGGGGCTCCCCTCTGTTCTAGCACCTCCTAAAAATGATCGGAGTAGAGCCCGTTGCCCCTCACAAACCTGACACTCCTAGCACTGAGCTTCTGCATGTCTGTGGGTCTTCTTAAACTCCAGGAGAGCACCCCCAGTGTCGTCCTGCCTTTTGCTCAGCTTCCTGTCTATGGACAAGCCGGTGACAGAGCCCACGGGCCGGGGAGAGAAGCAGAGATGCTAGCTTCCTCCCAGTGAGAGCAAAGTCGGGGCCAGTCCTGCTTCCTCTGGACCTAGTGCCAAGCCAGCTGTGTGACAAGCCCCTGGGGGACCCGTTGCAAGCCACTCTGACATTTCCCAGAAGTCAGAGAAGAAAACTGATTACCTACTCATCATTTGTAAAAATATGCCCCAGTTTGTTTTTCAGGACGCTCAGCAGCATGCCCACCACCAGCGAAGTGCCCACTGGAAGACAAAGGAAGAGCGTTTGGCCCCCAGCCCATGGAGGAGCCCAGCTTAAGTCAGCGCAAGGCAGGACAGCATAGGAAATGGCTTTCCTCCTTTGGTTCTCAAAGTGGGGTTCCTAGACCAGCAGCATCGGCATCACCTGGTCACTTGTTACAAGTGTGGGTTCTCAGACCCCACCTCAGACCTCCTGAATTAGAAACGTGGGGGGAGGCCCGGGGTCTGTGTATTGACATAGCCTTCCAGTGGATTCTAATGCAGTCTACAGGGGCACCCGGGTGGCTCCAGTGGTTGAGTGTCTGCCTTTGGCTCAGGTCATGATCCCAGGGTCCTCCATCATCCCATACAGGGAGCCTGCTTCTCCCTCTGCGTGTGTCTCTGCCTCTCTCTGTGTGTCTCTCATGAATAAATACATAAAATCTTTTTTTAAAAAATGCAGTCTATAGCCTGCAAACCACTGCTCTCTACAGATGAGTTGATCTGGATCCATCAGCCTCAGCAAGCAGAGCCACGGAGGAGGACACAAGATTGGTTGATCCTGAGGGGTGGCATGGGCAGGCCTCAAGCTCCCGGGGATGATGGGAGGGCAAATTTGCAAAATCTGGACAGCTAGAGGGAGAACCTGGGGAGGAAGGGACTTTACAAGGTCACACTAACATAAGGGATGGAAAGGCTGTATCAACTCGGCAGGGGCTGCTCTGGGCCAGGTGTCTCCTGCCCCAGGCTCCAATTTTCCAAGCACCCACCCCCCGACCCCCAAAGGACTCTACCCACCTGCGCAGAGCATGCCTGAGATAGCTGAACGCTTAGCTTGTGCAGTATCTGCAGCTCCCAGGGCGGTCCCCACCCGGACACAGACGGCATTGCTGAGCCCCAGGGGAATCTGGGATCACAGATGACAAGGGGCTGTCAGTGGAACCAACCTCCTGCCCCTGGAATGGGGTGGGTCTTGAGCCAAGAAGAAGCCGGAGCTGGGGGTAGAGCCACCCTCCATCACCCTAACCCCAGGCCAAGAGGGAGAAGAGCAGGAAGACAGGATGGATCCTAAGGAGACAGCATGAGGACATAGAACATTTGCAGCTGTGGCTGGGAGACGGGATGAGGGTACCCCGAGTGAGCTGGTCAATGCCACCCCTACCCACTCTATCAGACATCATAGGTGGACTGGCCCTGCCAGCGTGTTGCCAAAACCACAGGAGTAAATGCATTTTTAAGAGGTGAACGTGATCTTAGGGTGGCTGGGTGGCTCAGTCGGTATAACCACCTGCCTTCAGTTCAGGTCATGATCCTGGGGTCCTGGGATTGAGTCCAACATCAGGCTTCCTGCTCAGTGGGGAGCCTGCTTCTCCCTTTCCCTCTGCCCTACTCATACACACTCTCTCTCTCTCTCTCTTGCTCTCAAATAGATTTTATTTATTTAATTAATTAATTAATTAATTTATTTATTTATTTGAAAAAGAGCACAAGCAGGGGGGAGAATCAGAGGGAGAAGCAGGGTCCCTGCAGGGAGCCCGATTTGGGACTAGATCCCAGGATCATGACCTGAGTCGAAGGCAGACACTTAACTGACTGAGCCACCCAGGCACCCAATAAATAAAGTCTTCAAAAAAGTAAAGATAAATGTGATCTTAAATATGCCAGAAAAGCTCCCTGTTAAAAAAACAAAATTCTGGGACACCTAGGTGGCTCAGTGGTTGAGCATCTGCCTTCAGCTCAGGGCGTGATCCTGAGGTCCTAGGATCGAGTCCCACATTGGGTTCCCTGCATGGAGCCTGCTTCTCCCTCTGCCTATGTCTCTGCTTCTCTGTGTCTCTCATGAATCAATAAATAAATCTTTAAAAAAAAAAACCAAAAAACTCCCAAAATTCTGTGGAAGCCATTATAATATTATAATGGCTTAATATTATAATATTAAGCAGCTTATAAATTAGTGTTTTGAGTGTAGACTTTTGCAAGTCATTTCCTTAAGCCCAGGGTCGCAGACTGCATGTCCCCAGAAGACTGGCAGACACATACCTGAGTGACATGGGACAACTCACATCTCTGTGGGAAGAGGAAGGAGCTACGGGGGCCATGGTGGGGGATGGTGATGTCCCCCACACGAGCAGGGGACACTGTCACCCAGCTCTCGCTGACCCGGGTGTGCAGGAATGTGGGCCCACCACGAAATGGAATGTCCCGTTTTTCAAGAAAATGCAAACATTCAGATTATGATGTGGAATCTCCCCATTTTTAAATGGTGCTAATTATTTCAAAAGGTTCTAACAATACGTGAGTTCAGTATTACCCTTGGTGGAGCAGGTGTGGGACATAGGAGGGTCACTCAGGAGATAGAGCTGGCATGCCAGATAGAGTGACAGCATGCCCATCTTCTGTGCCACCCCAGGCCATCTGGAAGGCCAGGCCAGCATGGAGGGTGTGGCGAAGGCACCCCCAGAAGAGACTCACCATGTAGACTATGGTGGCTAGCTCGTAGATGATGGCCTGGCTGGAGAGGTCCAGCACGCTGATCAGGCCTGCAGGGTGGAGGGGGTGAGTGGGAAGGAGATACATGGTGAGCACGCAGCCCTGGGGCCTGCTAACAGGATGCCCTTCTGCATTGGAGGCCGAGGGGCAAGTGATTTCCAAGGGCAGATTTGCAATAGAAAAGGTTCCTGCGTGGCCTTCAGCCTTCCAGGGAGATCCCACCCAGTTGTGGAATTGACTGCAGACCATTTGTTCCCCATACGGTGTGACTTTCAAGTCCTTGGAGGAGGCATGAGGAGCAAGAGAAAAGAGACCTGGGCCAAGATTAGGAGAGCTGAGTTTGGGTCCCAGCCCTGCCACTGTGCAACTCTGTGCCACTCTGCACAGTCTTTTGTTCTCGGGGTTCAGTTTGCCTATCTGTAAATGGGGGGCAAGTGTTGGACCAGAAGGTCTCCCAGGGCCATTCTCACACTGGCCTGATTCTCAGGCTGGGTGGACACTGCACTGTGTGCTCCGTGCGCGTCAGGTGAGCACATACATGTCAGGTAAGAGCCCCAAGCCTGCTAGGCCCACACACGCTCACACTCCGGTTGGTTCAGTCCCTTGATCCCTCACTGACTCGACCCCCTGCCCCGGGCACCTGCTCAGTTCCAGGCCTGTGCTGGGCGGTGCTGGGGTCCTGACACTGGAGACCCAGGCCTGCCTTCCAGGAGCCCACAGCCTGATGGGGGAGATGAGAGAGCCCAAGACCCAGCCTGGGCCAGGCTGCTGACCTGCTCGTCCAGGGAGGGGGCTTCTGAGCTGCCCACAAGGTTCCCCCGAGCTGTGCTCGCCCACGTACCCATGAGGAAGCTCCCAATCTCGTAGGCCCACCACTCGATGCATATCATGAGCATGCTGGGAATGGCCAGGGAGAAGAAGGAGCCCCAGTCCTGCAGGCACTGGCTGGACCAGCCTAGGAACAGAAGTCCCGCTCATGAGCCGAGCAGGGAGCCCGCCCCTGCCAGGAGCTCCCGCCGGCCTGGCTCTGCCCGCTCCCAGGTTCAGCTCAGCACGTGCAGGCATTTGGCATTTTGCACGGGGCGTGCCCTGCTGGTGCAGCGTTGGTGTGGCACGGGAGCAGGACGTGGGGCAGGGCACCTGCTCACGGGGCCACCAGGGACGGGAGCCTCGGACGTGGGGGAGAGTCCCCACCTGCCCACGACACCGCAGGATCTGGGGCAACTACTCTGCCCTTTCTGGGTTCCGTTCTCCCCTCTGAAAACCTGAGTTCTTATCTCTGCCCTGCCTCTCCCAAAGGGTTCTTGGGAGGACGGCATGAGGTCGAGGTTGCCGAAAGGATGCTCAGGGCGGATAGGACTGTGCAGACAGGAAGAGCAGAGTTTGCAAGACTCCCCGAGTCATGACTGAGGCCCCGGCCAGAGAGCCGGTCCTGAAATGCCCGCAGGAGGACCCCACGGTCTGCAGAGTTCGGTTTCAGGAGGCAGAAAGGCTCAGACGGGCACAGTTTCAAGTCCACCCCCACCATACACCACCTCTGGCATTTTGGGCAAATTGTTTGACCTCACCCTGTATCCATTTCCTCTGCATAAGTAAAATGGGGATAATAAGGTGTCAAGGGGTTTAACTGAGGTCAGAAATGCTGGGCACTGGACCCACTGCTGACACCTAGGATTTCACCTGTCACCACCCTGAGATCAGGGAGCCAGCCAGAGCGCTCCCCGGGGCTGTCCCAGCAGGGCTCTCCACCATGTCACGTTTGATGGGGGGATCTGGGGCATCTGGGGGTGGAGTCCTGAGGGGTGGAGCAAAGGGGAAGGAGGCCCAGAAGGGAAGTAAAGGCAGGCGGGAGACAGGGCTCCTCCAATGGGGCTCCACCCGGTTTCTGTCCACCTGCAGAATGCACACCCTGTGCCCGTGCTGGGGTCCTGCCTGCTGCTGGTCTGCCCAGCCCCCCAAAGGCAGGGCGGCCCCCTGCACCTGCCCATGTCTCCAGGTGAAGCTTCTTCAGCACAATGTAGAGAAAGAGGAAGATGGTCTGCACGAAGTAGGAGATTGTGACGGCATAAGCAGAGCCCCTGGGAAAGGAGAGAGAGCAGGGCTGGGGTAGGTGCCAGACTCCAGCCCTGGGGGTAGGGGGCTCCCCTGCTACAGCCAGTGTGGAGGGGAAGGGAGACCAGGGTGGCCAGCCAGCACCCCATCCCAGGATCAGCCACAGGAGCCTCTAGTGCCATTGGCACATGACCACAGTGTCCCTGGAGTCACCCTGCCAGGTCCCCACTCTCGGCCTTTCCTGGCAGACTGGGGCAGGGATGAGGAGGGCTCCTGTCCCTGTCTCCTTGGTGGGGAATCCCCTAGAACCCAAGGGACCAGCAGGAACCCCCAATTCCTCGTGACACTGCACTTTAGATGGCAAAACCTCACTGTTCTTGTGAGGCAAGGATGGTGACCGACCCGCCCGGTCGGGGACAGAGTGCCCGGTGGGCAGTGCTCCCTGAAGCCCACCAGTCCCGGTGCTCACTTGACCCCCAGGCTCAGCATGGAAACCAGGATGTAGTTGGCCAAGCCATTGATGCAGTTGCCCACGATGCCACTGAAGACTTGGGGCCAGACGATGCCCTGAAATAAATGAAGGGGGAGGGGTGCGGGCAGACAGGACGAAGGGGTGTGGCCAAACTCGGCACATCCAGGGGTTGGAAGGAGGCTGGGGACACGTAGCTCCTTGCTGGGCCCTGGTCAGGACATGGCACAGCAGGCTCGCAGATCACGCAGAAAGGAGGAAAACCCAGGCACCCCTTCCCACTGGATCAGGGCAGTGTGCTGGGGCAGGGGGCCGCCCCTCTAGCCAGGGACCTGTACCTGATTTTGCAGATATTTTGCCAGCAGGACATAAAGAAAACATGCCTGTGTAAAAGAAAAAAGAAAAAAAAATCACAAACACAAACAATGACTACCCCAAAAACATGAAGTGAATATCAGAAGATTATTTCTTGGGATACCTGAGTATGGATCAATTACTTCATCAAAGTATAATGGGACCCCACAGGTAGGCTGAAGCCTGAAGAGCCATCTATGTGCCCGGGCCCCGCCTAGGAGGGAGAGGCCCCCTTGGGGCTCCTGCTCTGCTACAGGGAGGGCAGACAGGCAGGAAAGGTTGGCTCCAACAGCTGGCACATGTCAGTGGGCTTGTGTAAGAGCAGAGCACCTGGAAGGGCTTCTGGCTGCCAACCCGGACCTTCCACTCAGGGAGGCCACCCAGGGGTCTGTGCACAGAAGGACCCATCAGAGCCCAAAGCCACAATTGTGACCACCCTTGAGCCTGGCTCTGGCTGCTGGACCCAAGAACCTGGAGGGAGTGGCCTCAGGCTGGGGTGGGGGGGCAGAGGGGGACTCAGCAGTGTGGCCATTGGTAGTCTCTGCTCGGTAGGTTCATCGGTAGGTACCCCGTCCCTCCCCTTAGCCCTCTGCTTCTCTCCAGTATAGCACAGCAATTATGAGCATGGAGCTGGAGCTCAACTGCCTTGGGTTCAAGTGCTGGCTCCACTTCTTATGAGCTGTGTGATATTAGGCAAGTTGCTTAACCTCTCTGGGCCTAGTGTCTTCATCTACAATGGAGATAATAATGTGTGTGTATACTTCATGTGTATCTCTACATATATATATAAAGTTCACATTGCCAAATACTTACAAAACAGCACACTGAAGCACATGTAAGCATTTCAAGTATTAGGTAAGCATTATGTAAATAATATTTGTCACTTTTAGGATTTATTGGCAAATTTTACAGCAGTATTTTATGGGAGGGACTTGCTTTATTTGATAAAGGGGGTACCATAGTGATAACTTTATAGATGCCTTCCCCTGACCCAACCCCAGTGGCCTTGTTTGTCAAGACACCATCATCACCTTGGTCTGAAGAGCCAAAGTGTGGTTTCTAGGGCAGACTTGGAGGCGAAAGATTGGCCTTTTCAGGTGGTTTCCATAGTAGGGCAGAAATGTGGACCTGACCAGGCCCTGGAGATGTCACAGCAATGGATTTTCAGACAGGTTCATGTGGCTGGGATACCTCCCGCCAGGCCTGGCATGCTTTAAAGTACCTTGCGTTCGTCCTGACTCATCCCTTTCCTGGATCCCTCCTCAAGAACTTTACCTCCTGGTGTCATAGGGGATGGGGTGCTCTGGCTCCAAAGACACCATCCCTGATGCAACACTGTCAGGTAGTACCATGTGTCATTAAGCCTCAACAAATCCCTAAGCCTCAACAAGTCTGTGTAGCAGCAAGTTCCTGAGCAGACATACAGACCACGGATCAGGCTAGGAATCTCAGAAACTGACCCGACTAGATGCACCTGCTTAGCTGGTATTTAATAAATTAATGGAGAAAGGAGAGAATATGCAACAATTATTCCTAGTTAAAGTTTGTTAGATGGATTAGAGTCTTAAAGGTAAAAATAAAAACCATAGGAGGGCTCAAAGAAGACACAGGCACATGTTTATATAATCTTGCAACGGGATGTTTTTAAGCTCATTAAAGACTTCATAAAGAAGAGGATTTATGAATCTGTTATGTATACATTAAAAATTCTGTAGGTCAAAATTATAAAAAATTAAAAGACAAGTGACATATATGACAAAGGGTTTAGATGTTAGTTAATAAGAGTTATAATAATTAGAAAACGATTAACCCAGGGATGCCTAGGTGGCTCAGTTGGTTAAGTGTTGGACTCTTGATTGCGGCTCAAGTCATGATCTCAGGATCATGAGATCAGGCCCTACTTGGGGCTCCATGAGTAAAAAGGACTCTGCTTAACATTCTCTCTCCCTCTGCCCCTCCCTCGCTCTCTCTCTTTTTTTTTTATTTATGATAGTCACACACAGAGAGAGAGAGAGAGGCAGAGACACAGGCAGAGGGAGAAGCAGGCTTCTCGGGAGCCCGACGTGGGATTCGATCCAGGGTCTCCAGGATCACGCCCTGGGCCAAAGGCAGGCGCCAAACCGCTGCGCCACCCAGGGATCCCTCTCTCTCTCTCTAAAATAAATAAATAAGTCTTTTTAAAAAAGGATTAATCCACTAAAATAAGTGAAGGGTATGACCATTCACAGAAGAACAAAATGATCAATAAATACACGAAAAAAATGTTCATTAGCAATAAAATGCATGTGAAAACTATTTTGAATTGGAGAAAATGTTAGTAACAATGCTCTGAGCTAACAAGTGTTACTAGTGGGGGTAGAATTGGTACAAATTCATATCAAAAGCCATTGAGAGAGCAAGACTGCATTCCAACAATGCACCTGATGAAAACCGTTACAGATGTTCACAAAGATTTTTCTATACCACTGTTTATCACAATCTTCCTTGTAATAGTGAATATTGGAAACAACTGAAATACCTACCAATTAGGGATGGGTTAATACACTGTGGCACTATAGGATACTCTGTAGCCTTTGAAATGGATATTGTAGAAGGCTATTTAAAATCACATCAAGAGGCTAACAACATATTGGAAAGGGGAAAAGCAGGTTATAATACAATATACACACATTGACCCTTTTTCCAACTATATATGTGCATGTGTGTGTGAACACACGCACCCGCAAGCAGAAATAATCCTGGAAAGAGCTATTACCCTGTATTCTCTCTGGGTGGCAGGATTAGAGGTGAATGAAAATGTTTCTTTCCCACTCTTCCCACAAGTTCTCCCATAAGTGGTTTTCTCATAAAAAAAAAAAAAAAAAACATGTTAGGGGGCACCTGGGTGGCTCAGTGGTTGAGCATCTGTCTTTGGCTCAGGGTGTGATCCCAGGGTCTCGGGATCAAGACCCACATCAGCTCCCCTGCAGGGAGCCTGCTTCTCCCTCTGCCTGTGTCTCTGCCTCTCTCTGTGTCTCTCATGAATAAATAAATCAAATCTTTAAACAAACATGTTAGAGTGCTTCTTAAAAGTTCCATCTGCAGGGAATGAAACTAGAATTCTCACATCCCCTTCTGCCAGACTCAGAAGGCAGCTGTAGGCTCATGGGCCTCTCCAGCAGAGAGCATGGAAAAGCAAATCGCCAGCACCTAAGGGGGTGTAAGTCCACCCTTAGTCAGCAGACAGAGGCACTTACTGGAAGCGTTGGGATGACAATCAGCACGTACTCCTGGGTTAGCCTGCAAGAGAAGCAGGAGCTCCAAGCCTCCCAGGCTGTGCCAGAGGAGCACTCTGGGGGCCCCAGGTTTAAAGAGGGGCTCTGCCAGGCCCTGAAGATCGTTGGCCAAGACGAGTGAAACCCCAGCAGTCACGGAGTGCCGCTACTGCGTGCTAGGAAGGTGGCAGGAGGGGGACCCCTCATGGCTGGGAACTTAAACTCAAGGGTAAAGGTGGTGTGTGCAGGGATGGGGTGGGCAGGGAAGAAGGTTATATCTTATCAAGAAATAAGCAAATGAAGTGCATGTACTACAGAATGAACAAAGTATTCCCACGAGGGGACAGTGCACACTTCTTTCCTCCAAAGCATCTGGGAAGCCCCATCTATACCGCAGATCCCTTCTTTCTCCTCTCCTGCATTACAGCTGGCGTGTCTGCCCCCTGCTGGTCGCATCTGGAGCAGCATGCCGCTAGGGAGGAACCTGAAACCCAACCCTGGAACCTTCCCCCTAGAAGCTGCGCTTGCCATGGGGCCTAGGGAGTGGTTTTCCTTGGGGGGGGGGGCGAGGGATGGGGCTCCCATCCCGGCTTCCCTGCAGAAGCCAAGCAGTACCTGGACACGGCCGGGTCCTGCCTGAAGAGCAGCAGAATAGTCTCGGTGTTGAGGAAGAACGCCCAGCAGGGGAAGCAGCAGAGGAGCAGCACCAGGGTACCCCTCTGCAGGATGACCCCCACGTGCTTCTTGTTGGGGCTGCCGAAGCTCTGCAAAACAGCTCGTTCCTGGGTCAGGCTGCCCACACCTTCATTACCTTCCCTCTGTCCCCTGGGTGAGCCTAACCAGGGCATCAGCCTCCTAGCAGAGCCAGTGCTGTAGGGATGGCCCCAGGCACCACAGGTACCGGTCAATGCCTCGGTATCCAGCATTCGGCACCCCCTGATTACAGCCTGGAGTAGGGGGTGGCATCCTCTGCAGGGGCTCAGCCGGCTCATAGAATCATTATAGCAGTGATTTACGGGGCACTACCTCCGCCAGGCCCTGCGCCAGCCTGCCTGCCCATTGTCCTCAGTTCTTTAAAAGTGCCTAACAAGGAGGGGGTTATTTCCCCCATCGCAGCTAAAGCAAGGGAAGCTCCCAGAGCATTTGTCAAGTCTCCATGCTGAGAACTGGTGGCCAGGACCAAGCCCGGGTCCCCAGGTCTACTGTGAGTCCAGACCCCCCAGGAAAGCTGAGCCCCACTGGACTGTGGGCCCCCAAGGGCAGGAGGGTCCCCTATGTGCATCCTCAGCATTTGACACATGAGGGCCAGGAACTGCCTCCACCCTGTTCCTTCCATGGCTCTCTTGCCCGTCTGCTCAGTCTCTTAAAACGAAGGATCTGGGGCCTCTGGGTGGCTTAGTGGTGGAGGGTCTGCCTTTGGCTCAGGGCGTGATCCTGGTGTCCTGGGATCAAGTCCTGCATCGGGCTCCCCGAAGGGAGCCTGCTTCATCCCCCTGCCTATGTCTCTGCCTCTCTCTCGCTGTGTCTCATTAATAAATAAACACAATCTTTAAAAAAATAAAAATGAAGGATCCCCGACAACATGAGGTCCTTGCAGGCAGGCCGGGAGCAGGTGTCCCCTGGGCCCATTTGACGGGCTCCCAGGTCCAGGGTCACTGAATGGTCTCCTGGACAGCTCTGGGAGGCCCACCTACCTGAGACATCAAGGTGTCACACGCCGAGGACAAGCCCAAGCCTATGGAAACTCCACAGACGTTGACAAACTGGAGGTGCACACGGGAGACAACACAGGGCTTGTCAGGGAGGACTCAAGAGGGGGAACCCTGTGTCTGGGGGAGGCCATCCAACAGCAGCTCTGATATGCAACTGAGCCGGAGACCCCCGTCCCTCCCCAGGCCCTGCCTGCATGTGCTGTGTGCCCCTGGGCGAGCCCCCCAGGTCCCAGCTGTGAATGCAGCTATCAGCCTTCCCCCTGTGCCTCTGGGGATGCTGGGGGGGGGCGGGAAGAATGTCCCCACAGGCTGGGCCATACTCACGGCCACCGCGAGGGTCACTGCCGCCAGCTCCAGCTTGCCCAGGTGCCCGCAAAACACGGAACTCACAAAATGGATCATGAAGGTGAGCGCCTGGAACAGGTACTGGAGGACGCAGCCAGGGTCAAGCCCCGCCCCGCCCCACACGGGGGCTTCTCCACATCCTGCGGGAACTCACACCAGGACCCACAAACAACACAGCCCCCCGGGGCCGATGGGCCACAACCAGGAGAGTGAACATTTTGGGGCTGAGGCAGACAGCAGCCAGGGCTGGGAGTCAGGAGACGGGAGTCTTGCTCCCATTCTGCCCTGAGCAGTTGCCCTTAACCTCTGGGGTCAACCTCTGGGTTCTGGTTTCCCTGCCTCAAAGTGCACGAATATGCCAGAAGCACCTAGCACACACAGATCCCGGAGCGCACAGGGCTTAGCTCAAACATCTCATACCCAGTGACGCTATTCTAATCATGTGGTCAGACCACACACAGTTTGGGTTGAATCACCTACAAAAGAGTAATGGCTGGGTCACCTGGGTGGCTCAGGGGTTGAGCGTCTGCCTTTGGCTCAGGTTGTGATCCTGGGGTCCTGGGATCAAGTCTTGCATCAGGTTTCCCCACAGGGAGCCTGCTTCTCCCTCTGCATGTGTCTCTGCCTCTCTCTGTGTTTCTCATGAATAAATAAGGTGTTCAGCGGTTTAGTGCCACCTGTAGCCCAGGATGCATTCCTGGAGTCCCGGGATCGAGTCCCAAGTCGGGTTTCCTGCATGGAGCCTGCTTCTCCCTCTGCCTGTATCTCTGCCTCTCTGTGTGTGTGTCTCTCATGAATAAATAAATAAGATATTTAAAAAAAAATAAGGTGCTGTCCAGGGACAGCTATCCTCCTGCTGTCACCTGCTCTGGACAGTGGCCCCTGATACAGCCTGCACATGGTCAGCATGGACATTTGCTGGGCAAGGGCATGAGCAGCTCTTACTGCCTTACTGCCTCCCACACCCCCACAACTTCACCTCCTTACCAGGGGTCCAGAAAGGGCGATGAGCGTCCACACCTCAGCCCAAAAGCCAACGGGGAGCAGCCTGCGGAGGGCCGGGCAACAGCCCCCTTGGTCTTGGGGGACTGTGTCCTGAACGCTGTCCATTCCGAGACTGGGCCGCTGTCCACCCTGCATGCCTGAGCACTCCTACAGCCCGCCTTGCCCAGCCAAGCCCATGTCACCTTGCAGCCTGGCTAATGAGTAAGGGGCAGGAGGAGGGGCCGCTGTAGCCACCTATGGGACATGCCCTGCCTCCCGGCACCGTGGCCCTGTTGCCCAGCCCAGGGGAGGACGGGATGGAGCCCTGGGCACCTGGGAGTCACCCGGGCTGATGTCTGTGTCTACTGTCCCAGAGGGGTCAGCTGCAAAGCCCCAGGAGGAGAAGGTTTGGGGTAGCATGGGGTGTGCTGGTTCTGGGGGCGAGGGCAGGACGGCCTGGCTGGGGTGGGCTGAGATGCTGGGCATTGTATACCCCCGCATGACAGTGTCCGTGATGACAGAGAGGTGGGCAGCCTCCAGAGCCCCAGGAGGGGTACGGTGGGAGGGGGCAGCGGCCTGGAGCCAGGACACTGAGGGAGAGACCCTCCAGCCCCCTCCCTGCCTGCCATCCCTTTCGGCAGCATCCCTGAGAACAGGTGTGACCCCACCTGGGCAAACAGCTCACCCCTCCTCACTGTCCATTTTGCCCAGTGTAGCTGTCACTGGGCATCCCACCAGGCTCCTCTGTGGCCTGCCCAGGCTGCCTTCAACTCTGCCCCACACAGGGGCGGCCTATGACCCACCACGGATGGGCAGGGCAGAGGCCATGGAAAGGCCTTTGCCCATCCACCTAGCTGTTTCCCATACCCACCCCTGCCTGAGGGAGCAGCCGGCAGGACCCCAGGACCCAGCTCCTGTGGGAGCTGCAGTGGGGGGAGGGGCAGTGGAGCAGGACCCCCACCAAGGAGAGGAGTCAGGATGAAAGCAATGAACCTGCACTGCCTCCCACATGCACACGCACCCCCTTGCTTCATGCGGAATCCCAGGCATCAGAGGCTGACCTGGGTGACGACCACTCCTGCCCTCATTCTGCACAGCAACTACTGCAAATTTCTACCACCTGTAGAAATTCACCACAGTAAAATTAACTGCCACCGACAAAGAGGAAAGAAAAGACATTTAATACCATTGTAATTATTACCGTAGGACCCCAAAAAAGGCAGGGCTACGGATAAAAGCTACAGCGCTCTGGTTACAAGCCCTTCCCTGGTACCTATCATGTGGCTCTTCTAATGCCTTTTCCAGGGCTCCTCACCTTTGGCTGGTTTGGCTTCCTCTCCTGAAAGGGTGGCCAAAATCTGTCCTTCGCTCCCGGACACCTAGACCTCAGGGGGTCTCTGTTACCTGACACCGTTGTCCCCAGTTGTGGGGCCCCTGCAACAAGCGTGGTGTCCAGCCAGCCCAGGCCCACTGTCCCATTCCTGTGGCAGTGGAGTGACTTCCGTGGTCAGAAGTCATGCTCTGTGGGAGTCCCCAGCGATGAGGAGGTTTGGGGGGCGTGCTGGGCAGATGAATAAAACTAAACCCAAGGTCCGTTTTAATGAAGGCCAACCCGTCCCCACCAGGATGGAAGGTATACGAGGCAAATGGCCTGCTTCCAGCTACACACACTGGGGTCTGCTTCCAGTGAGGGTTTATCCAAGTTGCCCAAGGGCGTGCTGAGCAGCAGCCGGTCAAGATCAGCTCATCCTAGGGAGGGCAAGCCCTTGCCTGAGCATCCTCAAAACAATTCCCGCAAATATTCCCCAGGATTTTTGCATAAGCTAATAATTTCTACATTTGCCTCTGGATACAGCTATTCTTTCAGGCCCCAGGTGAGTTCTGGGATCCAGGCCTTGGGATCAGGAACAAAGGATTAGTTAGGGTCCAGTGGCCATGTGGGTGCTGCTGCAGGCATGGGGCGTGCTGGGAGCTGTCCCCCCTTCCCCAACCCAGGTGAGGAGTTTCTAGATCTCGAGTCCTCCGAGGGCTCCCAGGTGACTGTACTTTGCAGTTAGGCCTGTGCTGTGGGCCGTGGTTCCGAAGCTTGCCCGTCCAGCCCCGGGTCTGGTGTTCTGGGACAATGTGGGGTTGGGCAGCACAGCAGAGGCCTGGTACTGTCCCTGGGGAGGTGAGAGCTCGGGGGTCAGCCCAGTGCTACTGGGAGCGTGGCCACCCTCCTGTTCCACGTCCCCTGCGGCCTCAGACAGCACATACCATGTTGATCAGTTCAGCTCCTGGTAACAGGACCATGGATCCCCATGACTTCTGGAGCCTCTCACTTCTCGGGTGACCTTCCCCTTGGGATCCTGTGAGCTACAATGTCCTTCCTCCCCTTGTGCCAGTTTCGTGTCCATCACTGTTCTTTGGTGGAAACAGTAGAAACTATCTTGAGATTAATGCCTGAAAAGCAAGGGGGCCGGGGAAGGGAACAATTATGAGCAGATGAACATTGGCAGAGGCAAGTTGAGCAGCCAGCCTGGAAAACAGAGGATCCAGGGAACTTTGGACTCTGAGCTTTACAAGCAAGCTCCTGAGATGGCTCAGCAACAAACATCTTCCATCCCAGAGGCCAATTCTTGGAAGACGGAGCAGGAGCCAGTCATTCTGGGAAGGGAAGTGGAGCAGGACGGAAGCAGGGAGCTGTGGCCACCTGGAGTGCGGCAGTGGGTTCCCCCCAAAGATGGAATGCTGCACAGGTAAAAAAAAATTTTTTAATTTTAAATCTTTAATTTGTTTTCACGTTTTTCCTTCTTTTTGCTTCCAAAAGGAAAGGAGAGGGATCCCTGGGTGGCGCAGCGGTTTGGCGCCTGCCTTTGGCCCAGGGCGCGATCCTGGAGACCCTGGATCGAGTCCCATGTCGGGCTCCCGGTGCATGGAGCCTGCTTCTCCCTCTGCCTGTGTCTCTGCCTCTCTCTCTCTCTCTGTGACTCTCATAAATAAATAAAAATTAAAAAAAAAAAAAGGAAAGGAGAGCATAGCTCCGCACCTGTACATCGTTCATGACCCCTGGTCTGGGGCAGGTCCCGACCCCCTACCCTCCAGCTGCTTCGGAGGACTAGGATGCCCAGGGGTTCACGTGTCTCTGCCTCTCTCTCCCTGTGTCTCTCATGAATAAATAAAAATCTTAAAAAAAAAAAATCTTTAAAAAAAATGGTAACACCTACATGTCCTGCATAGGAAAAGACTCCCAAACTTAGTGTCTTAAATCAGCCACCACTTATGTCACAAGTCTGGGCGGCTGGGATCAGCTGGTCGCTCTGGTTGTGAGCGGGTATTGCTGTGACCGGTCTGGGCTGAAAGGTTCACCAGGCCTGGCAAGGGGGTGCCTGGATCTTCCTCCACGGAGTCTCCCTGGGCCACTTGGGCTTCTCACCACAAGGGATTGGCTTGAAGCGAAAACATTCCAGGAGGGCAAGAGGAAGCTGCGTTCGTGTCAAGACGTGGCCCGGGATGCTACACGGGTCATTTCCACCGGTGCACCAGAGCTAATCACAGGGCTTGCCTGGACTAAACAGCTTCTGCTCTCAGAGGGCAAGAGTGGCAGGCAACCTGCAGCTTCCGTGACCCCCCACGGGCACACTCCCATCTCCCCTCTCTGCTCTTCTGGGCTCCTCTCCCCTGTCCGGCCCAGCAAGGGTGGAACAGGCGAAGGCTCCTGTGCACAGCGGTGAGGGGGGTCAGGCCTGCCTGGGACTTTCACACAGAAGAAGGACCTAAAGCCACAAAGTCTTGGGGACGGTAGGAGGTGGGGTGAGGGAGAAGAGGAAGGGGGAGTCCTTGCAAGACCCCCCAACAAGTCCTGAGGTTAAAGAAGCTTTCAACCAAGAAGGGGGAGCCTCTCCCCCACTCCCCGCCCCCAGGATAGTTGATTCCCTGTGCCTGGCAGCCTCACTGTGCCACAAGGCATTTGGAGCCTGCTCGGAAGAGCTCACAATCATGGGGTCAGGAGACACATCTGGAACCATACCCTGAGCCACTGGCCTAGGTAAATCATGTGGCTCAGAAAATTCAGTGGGGGGCCTCAGGCTCCCCGCTGCCACAGGTCAGCAGCAGCAAAAGCCAACACAGAGTTCCTGCAGAACTCGGAGGACCTGGGCCTGCCCTCAGGTAACTGATTGCCTGGGGTCCTGCCAGATACAGCGGATGCCTGCACCTCTGTTAACCTTTCTCTGCTTGGTTACACTTCACCAGACCTGAACCTACTGTTTGCCCTTTGGCTACCCCCAAGCCCTGCAGTTCCAGGCTGAGTGGCCAGAGTTTCTCTCTCGATGACCCCTCCTCACTGCCCCGTGACTAGAAAACCTTCCAGTTATCCACTGGGGAGGGAGGACTCTGGCCTTCTGGTCCCTCAGCTACACATACATCTTCAGAACAGAGGACAGCTGGGAAAGGTACGGTGTCAGCCTCCTGCCTGTCCCCAGGCCAGGGGACAACATCTCCCCTGCCAAAATGCCCAAGGCCACCCCAGAACCCCCAAGGCAGCGGCTTTCTTCTCTCCCTGCCTCCACCCAGCACCTCTTTCTTCCAGGCCATCAGCCCTTCCTGCCTTCCTCCCCACCTCACCCCACAAGGCTTCACTGGGCACCTTCCCCACAGCAAGGCCCTGAGCTCCATCCTGCCAGAACCTTAAGGCACCCCCAGGCCTGTGGGTGAGGGGAGGGACAGAGCCAGATGGAACAGCGACTCCTGCCAAGGGCAAGGCCCCGAAAGCCCCCCCGAGATGGTGGGGGCATTTCCTACTGAGAATGAGTCTGCAGGCATAAGGATGATTACAATTACTCAGCACTAGAAAGAAACGAGCTCTCGAGCCTTGAAAAGACAGGGAGGCACCTGAAATGCATACGGCAAAGTGGAAGAAGCCAATTTGGAAAGGCTGCATGCTGTATGATTCCAACTAGATGACATTTACTGGAGACAGTAATAGGATCAGTAATAGGATCAGAGGGAGGGATGAATGGTGGGCAAAGAAGATTTTTAGGGCAGTGAAACTACCTTGTATGATAGTAGAATGTGGATCCACATTCCCATATATTTGCCAAAACCCCTAGAACATACGCCATCAAGAGTGGACCCTGTTCTGAGATTCCTGAGTTGCTCAGCAGTTGAACACATCTGCCTTTGGCTCAAGGTGTGATCCTGGGGTCCTACGATTGAGTCCCACATCGGGCTCCCTGTAGGGAGCCTGCTTCTCCCTCTGCCTGTGTCTCTGCCTCTCTCTCTCTCTCTCTGTGTCTCTCATGAAGAAATGAACAAAAAATCTTAAAAAAGAGTGGACCCTGTTGAAATCTACGGGCTCTAATTAGTAATCTGTATCCATATTGGTTCCTTCATCATAATCAATGTACCATCCTCTTGTAAGGGATTAATATTAGTAGAAAGCAGGAGAGGAGAGTGGAAATAAAACTCTCTATATTTTCTATACAATCTTTATACGAACCAAAAAGTGCTCTAAAAAATAAAGTCCTTGAAGGGATGGTTAGGAGGCTCAAGCCATTGAGCATCTTACTCTTGATCTCAGCTTGGGTCTTGATCTCAGAGTCATGAGTTCAAGCCTAGCATTGGGCTCCATGCTCTCTGGGGAGCCTAGTTAATAATAATATTAGGGTAAAAAAAAACACTGGTAGACAAAATCATAATAAAGGGGAACCTCCTTTACTGAGGTTTATTTTTTTATTTTTTTAAAGATTTATTTATTTATTTATGATAGAGAGAGAGAGAGAGAGAGAGAGAGAGGCAGAGACACAGGAGGAGGGAGAAGCAGGCTCCATGCCGGGATCCCGATGTGGGACTCGATCCCGGGACTCCAGGATCGTGCCCTGGGCCAAAGGCAGGTGCTAAACCACTGAGCCACCCAGGGATCCCCCTTTTTTTTAAAAAAGATTTATTTTTTACTGAGGTTTATAAGGAAAACACGTTCTTTCCTGTCCCTTCAGTTTAAGAATGCAATGGTAGCACTCTTCACAGCCACCAAAGAGTGGGGACAACTCGAGTATACATCAACTTGATAAAAGGATGAACAAAGTGGGGTCTATCCAACAACAAAATTTTATTTGGCCATAAAAAGGA